AAATACACATATCAAATAAAAGGAGAGAGGCCTACAGAAGTGATTATTATCACTTGGCCTAAGCTCCTTTCCTCTATTCTTCTCAGATGAGCTAGTTCCTGTAATATGTTAACAGAGAGGGGTGAGTACAACCACTCAGTAACCAAGGTATATCTAAGTTATACAAATGAATGATAATTAATCATGAATGAAAGTGACCAATAAATTTATCAAGGTGACCATTCATACAATCACATTAATAATATGTTAATCACATTAATATTTAACTCATGTGAATAATTTCAAGAATAAAGTCAAGTATAAAATTTGCACAAATAGCCACATATACATTATTCGCATAATTACTACATGTTCTCATTTCTACAATTATAATTATATTCTCAACATAGCCATCAATCACTCAAATGACATGATAATAATAATATTCATGATCAATTTCTTCCTTATATCCCCCCTTATTTCCTCTGACACGAAATCCGTGGGCCAACAACCGGAAGGAATCATCCATGTGGTGAGACTACCCAAAGCCTTAATCATATCATGAGAGGCTACCAGGCCAGGGTTACCTTACTCACTTATGAACACGGTTTTCCCCAAATCACACACTATGGGGTGTCATACCCAAAACTAGCTCTACCCAAAACTCCAGGTAGGCCAGTAGGGTCAAGTCTCTTAATAGGAACAATGCTATAGTACCTTATAAGGTAAGTGGCGGCTATAACCCCTAAGATTATTGGTTAATAGCCAAGTACCATATGGATTTTATGTAATCGCTAACTCCTTCACTAAGGCGAACTCCCGCCATATGATCATAATAATAAAAAAATGCATTTTAAAAACTCATATATATAATTCATAATTTATAGTTAAGATTGTGCACATCATCATCAACATTAATCTCATTACTTATACCAAGTCACAATTAACTCGGTCACAAATTATAAGGTCTCAACAAAGCCACATGCATTACAAACAACTATTTCAAATTTAGATATATATATTTTTTTATTTCACCAACATAATTAATTAATTAACATACAAATGCATAAAATAGATTTCCCCCGGTTACCTCAACCTTTAAGAGGTCAAAAGTTACCCCTCAAGTTACATCACTTCCAAAGCTTTCCAAAGCTTGAATGGTGTCAAAAGAAAATTAATCTACAATTGATCATATCCCAATGTGTCAATAATATTATCAACACAATTTTCACTCATACTCTAACAGCTAAGTATTTATTTTATTTTATTTTTTATTTATTTATTTATTTATTTTTTTAAGAAATTAGTCTTAGTCTCTTGAATTCTAAAATTTAATTTCATGTATTTGAACCTATCTACTTGGTTCAATAGTCTCCTTCACAATAATTTTATTCAAATATTTCTCTAATATCAAAATTTCTCTTTTTATTCCAAAAATTCGCACATAAAAATACCCAAAAATTGCAGACTTAATTTCAAGCCTAGAATCATTATTCTATAGTCATAATAATTTATTTCTCATCTCAAACAATCATTTAAATATCAACAAATCAATTTATATTTTCAGATTTAACTAAAAATCTACCCATAGGAATCTAAGGATAAACTCAAATGCCTCAAATTCCAATTCTATCAACAAAATAATACTCTAGAATATTTATTACACTACTAACAACCTCAAAAATCATATTTATTCAACATAAATTCATCCCTCTTCCAAATCTTAAATTTTCTACCACCACAAAATCAGAAACCAAAGAGAAAAGATGACTAAGAAAAATATTTAGAACACTTACCTAATCTTAAAATGCTTAAAATCTCATATGAAGTATCCTATTATGGAGCTTCACCTTCTAAATCAGCCAGTCTCTCCGTCAGTGTCGCTCGCTCTCTCACTCGCTCTGTCTCAGCTCGCGTACAGGGATGAAATGAAAAAATGAAGAAATGAAGGAAAGAGGGTGTCTTTATAAAAAAAAATACTGTGGGTCCCACATGTTTTTTTTATTGTTTACTCTTTCCTCTCTCCTCTCTCCTTTTTTTTATTATAATATATATATATGTCATGATTGTCGTGGGAGCGCGCCGAAAGCAGTCATTTCTTCTTCATCTTCTTCTTTTTTTATACATTTTCTTTTTTTTAATAATAATAATAATAATTTAATATTTTTTTAATTAATTAATTAAGTATTTTTTTTACATTTTAATTTAGAATTATATTCTAATTAGATTTAACAATCATCTCCTATTAATTTACTCACCTTTAAATATTTTTCAAAATTTATATTAATTTAAATTAATTATTAAAATTTAAATTGAAATGTTATATATTACATCTAGATAAACTAATAGTTATATGCATCAATTATAGTACATGTCAAGAAAAGCTTCCTGGAAATGAAGGAAGGAAGGAAGGAATAATATTCCCCGATCATGATCCTTGGAAGCAACCAGGCAATGGAGAGCAAAGGAGTCAAGGTAAAGGAAGCAATTATCTCTATGTGAATGTTTCTTCGGGTAATAATCAGAGAATAAATTATTATACATTTTCAGCCTTACAGAACAAAACTACTATAGAAGTTGGCCTGGACTCGGTTAGAGTTTCGAGACTATGAGTGGTCACCTAACCTTCACGGTCAAAGGAGCTGTGACATCATATCACTGGAAGGGTTAATTCGGAACCATGAACACGACATTTTGGCTAACATATGAACTTTTCCTTTCCTCTTCTTTTATTTCTTCTATTTTTATTAAAACACTAGACACTGAGCTTCTTAAATAGTTTTTCAATTATTTTTTAGGTTTTAGGTGAGAGACAACGCGCATATTTTAAAATCATAACATTTTCTAACAGAGTTGGGTCTAGAGAGGCTGGTCTTTTGCAACATAACAAACCATTCAAATTTGAGTTTTGAATATGATTTCTTTCAACAAAACAGATATAATAATAATAATAATAATAATAATACCACAGCGTTTTGGCTTATGGACATTCTTGCTTCTATGGGTCAAGGCTGTGGAGCGTGGAGGACGACTTTTTTTAATTTAAGGGAAGTTAGTGGGTGAAGGACTTGTAAGAGCCCTGGTGATGCCAGAGTCATTTTCATAGTTGGGGCTTCACATCACCCACCGCAAGTATATGAGCCCAGGAGGCATCGAAAACAGAAAGCTAAACTATGATAAATGTTACAGCCGCACAAGCTTGACGTTCTTGAACTTCTCAAGAAACCAAAAAAAAAAAAACACACACACACACACACAATGACGTACCGTCGTAGTTCCTAGCCAAGGGATCAGGCCTCTTCTCATTGCTGCCCACGTATACTCAAGCTACTAAAAATTGAACCGGCTAAAATTAGAGATCAAGAGTCAAAGGTTTAGTTGGAGGTCAAACCAATCAAAATAAAATAATATAATTAAAATAAAAATACATTAATTCTTAATACATGTATCCGTATCCAAGACACCTCATCGAACATACAACAATAAAAACACAACAACATTTTAAATATTATTCATCTTTATAATAAAATTAAGATATTTGAAATTATGTTGCATAAAAAATACAAAACAATAAATAAATGTCAAATAAGAACAATATCAAGGTAAAAATATATAAAGTAACATTGTTAACATACACACATATATACATACATATTATACACATTCGCACTTATGCACGATTAGAAATAGGAGGAAAATGGTAGTTTAAAAGTTTATGTCCATGCCTATTACATTATTTTATGACATTATATATTTAAAAATTTATATTTTCAATCTATTTCAACTCATTCATGCCTAGGCCATCGTGTCTGAAAAGAAAAGAGATAGGAAGTATAAGGTATGCCACCTCTTTCACTGTTGCCTATCTTTTCTTTGCTTTGCAAAATTTACAAGGTGGGTTTCTATCGTTTACTTTTTTTTTTTTCTTATTGTCTCTTCATTACAAATTTAAACCGTTTAAACTTAATATTTATTTTTAAAAATAATTAAATATAAATTTTTAAATCTAATTTAATAGTTTAGATTTGTACTGATTTCTATTTTTCTCTCATTTGCAAAGGAGAAAATCCAACTACAAAATTCACACCCAAAGTTGAAAAGCAACGTTTGAAGACTGAAGAGGCAAAAGGGAGCAATGGAGAGAGCAAACCAAGAACCATGGAGACGACGGAAGTGAAGAGGGAAAGGGCATGATTGATAACAAGGATAGACCCACCACTACGACGGTGACAAACCTACAACAAACAAGAAAGAAGCTGCTAAAGCAATGAGTTTGAGAATGTCAAGAAGTAGTTGCTGAAATAATGTCGAGGGATAGAGAAGCAAAGATGAAGATGATTAGATGAGTGAATGAACAAGGACACATACATCAATAGTTAGGCTTGGGGCTTCCAACTTTGTCTTTTTTTGTTTTTTGTTCTAATCCTAAAATGGCATTGTCTTAGGGAAAATTTAGGGCTTTTCGTTATGGCTTTTCTTTTTAATTTTTAATTTTTATATTTTAAACCCTAAAATGGTGTTGTTTTGGGAGTCAAAATTTTTTAAAAAGATCAACACGCCTAACCTATGGGATTGAATAGGTTGATCCGAATTGATCTCGAGTCACTTGAATTAACTCAGGTCAATTATAACTACTTTAAATTAGAAAACAGTACCAAACAAATGACCAGGTCATTGGTCTGACCTATCGGTCTAGTTCGATTTTAAATGCAATGTATATATTTATCATGCCCAAGACATGTGGGACTTGGATCCTAAAAGTGGTTTAATTTTGTTGTTTCAGTGAGTCTCTCGTAACATAATAACAATAGTTTGATTTAATTAAATGATTTTCTAAGCTTTTGTTATATAATATTTTTAAAATATTAAATAGTATTTTAATCATGAGAATTATTTTAATTTTTTTAAAAAATTTTTTTGATAATTTTTAAACAGTGATAAAATCAATATAACTGATTCACTTATGGTATGAATCAACTTGGCCTGCCACGGAATTCAAGTACGAGCACACCAGCTTAACCTTCTTGAAGTTTGACTTGTCTAAAAATTAAAATGTATCTCTTGCTCTTGAACACAACACTGCTTTCCATGCTTCGCGCATCATATTTAATCGTTGCAAAAATAATGGCACCCCCTAAAATTCTGACAGTATAACAGACATTTCGTGCTGATATCAGTGTACATGTCGTAATGCTAGAAAATTCTACCGGGGAAGACTTGAATTAAGACTCCGGTAGCCCCTCGTTCTCGTACATACAATCTTCCCGCTGCAGGAGACTGACCTTTTCATCGAAATTGGGGTTACGTGAAGACGTTGTGCAATGGAGGAACGGCGTGCTGATTTATTGAGTGTTGAATCATCACCGCCTTTCTCCAAGAGATTGATCGTGTATTGTTCAGTTTCATCGTCTACATGATCAACCGAAGAACCCATCGAAACAGAACTCGTCCCCTTTCGAGTTCCATCTAGAACCTGTTCATTCTCATCAATGTTTGGACGCTCCTTCGAAATTGGTTCGTGAATGAACTCTGCGGCTTCCCCTGCTTCTTCTGTTCCCTCCCGGTTTCTCGAGACCTCGCTGACTAATTCACCATCGTCCCTCTCCACCTGGGCTTCTCCATTTCTTCCCGCTGCGTTCGAGTTTTCCTCCGCTGAACTCATATTTAAGATGGCTGCATCGGAAGTGACATTGCTGGGCACAATACCGGCACGACAAAGAGGGCAATTGATATGAGACCGCAACCACGTGTCGATACAGGGCATGTGAAACACGTGGCTGCACTTTGGCAAGAGTCTCAAGGTTTCGTCTTCCTGGAATTCATTCAAGCACACTGAACACACGGTTCCATCGACCAATCCCTCGCCCTTTCTGTACTTACAAACTGTAATGGACTTTATGATTGACTGTTGTAAGCCGATGGTGGTGATCAACCAGATAGGGTGATCAACTTGATTCTCGCGAACAAACTCATCGTCCAGGCTGTCTGATTCCATGGCAAGGGATCCATTGCGTCTCCGGCCACACCAATCAGAGTAGCACTTTATTTTGAGAACGTAGAAACCAACGAGAACGAATATGACAGTGAATAATGAAGCAACGATTGCCAAGTAGGACGAGATCTGATTACTTGGAGGTAAAATGGGCGGCGGCGGGAGGTAGCGGTCCGGGTAAGAGTAGCAGTTGTAAGGGCAAGTTGGGTCACAAAAATCAGAACACTCTTGGCTTTGATTTGTTGTGGTTGATGCAGGGAAGAGCTTTCTGTGCATCCTGGATATGGAAGTTTTTATGAAAAGGAATTACAGACAGAATTAAAAGGTAAAGGGAAAAGTGCGAATGATGTTTGTGAGAAGCGTGAGATGGGTGTTGTTGGAATTAAAAGAGAACAAACAATGTTAATAGCTTAACCGTCTCTTTCCAAGGTTTTAGTGGGCAAACTGATGTGTTTGTTGTGGTTGGTAAATGATAACAAGTCGTAAAGAAGCTTCGTGCCTCCCTGCTATTTCTGTTGGCTTGTTTAACGACTGATCAATTATGTGTTTGCCAGAACTTCTGCAGCTTCCACGAACAAACATACATACAAAATGTTTTCATCATTTGGCATCCTCCCTGTTGCAATTTGCAGGCATCCTATTTGTGATTTTTTTGCTTGCAGTTTCCTACTCATTTTTTTATCATACATTGAGCTCCTTTGCATTGCCAACCACGATGTTGGGGGATTCATCATACTGAAAAGACTCAACATTTCTGATATTTTGATATTTCTGTACATATGATTGCAAATATATAGAGTGTAGAGGAAGTGAGAATGTACCCCAAGGCAGAGACGGAACTACATCATAGCTAAGGGGGACACTTCCTACGTCTATATAAATACGTGCACATTGATTTATCAAAATATATAGAAAACACAATTATGGTTCTTCTAGTTTTATTGAGTTTTGTTTTTAATTCTTGTAATTTTTTTTAATGTTTTTAATTTTTAGTTTCAGCAAATTTTGGTGATATTTATTATTTAGGTTCCTCTAGTTTTAGCATTTTAAGTCCTTATAAGAAATGAAAACATTAAAAAAAAAAAAAGCTATAGGAACTACACATAAAATTTAATAAAACTACAGGGATCAATAATTATATTTTTCCTATCAATATATATGTATATGTATATCAAAGGTTCTAGCTTAGTAGGAACTGTAACTCTACTATTGATTATCTTGTTAGTTTGGCTCATAATTTAGTTTATAAAATTTGTACTCATGATCTCCCTCCATCTCTTCACCAAGAGGTGGCGGCAAATGATAATGTTTCTTTTGTAGACCTTAGAGTTTATAATCTCTTTTGATTAATGCATGTATCTTTTAATTAAAAAAAAGAAAAAAACATAACTTTAAATTCTCACACTTCACTCGAGTTTTATTATAGGTCCTTGCATTATTTTTCAGTGTTCTAGATTTCTATAACTAATTAGAGCTAAGTCCATCAAACCAGCCCTTGTAAGTCAAAAAAAAATTTAAGGCCAAGCTATTACTTTAGAGCTAAGTCCATCGAACCAGCCCTTTTTTCAAAATTGGGTCCCTCTCAATACTAATAAGCTTAAAAGGGTTGGCCCGTTTGAGCCCTAAAATAAAAATATTACACTGACTCTAAAACTTTAATCTCATTTCACAAGGATGAAAAAAGGATATATGAAAAACTTAATATATTTACCACTAATGGGGCTCCACAAGGAAAATGATGAAAATATATTGATGTTAATAATAGTGAAAATTATCAATATCTAGTTGATGATGCTAGCAAAATTTTATTGTTATTGGTATTGATTTTGTTATGTTGTTTTTTATTAAACTTAAATTTGTTGCTGTGCGTGTTGATGTAAATTTGTTTTTCTAGATTTAATGTTATGTGTAATAAATTTTTTGAGAGTTTAAATATGTTTTTTATATTTTTAAATTGAAAAATAAAAAAAATAAGGCCAAGCATAAGCAAGCTAAGGCCAGATTGACTAAAATGAATTTGTGAGATGTAATTAGGCTTAACAGGGTCAACTTGTTTAAGCCTTGACTCTTTAAGGGCCAATACTTTAGGATCAGGCCAACCTTAATTAACAACTTTACCTATAACACTTCTCATTGAGGGATTTAGAACATTTAAAAATATAAGTGCGGGGACTTAAAACTCTGAAAAAAGTACAAGAACTTATAATAAAACTTAAGTAAAGTGCAAAAACTTAAAGTTGTGTTTATGTTTTTTCAAAAAGAAAAAGTTATAGCAAACGATGGTTCTAACAAGTAAGGAAGGAGTAATGTAGTTACACAAAATTGGGTCCCTCTCAATACTAATAGGCTTTACTATTGTTTATAATTACACGCGCCTTCCTCTTTCCTTTTCTTTGCTTTCTTGCTTTGAGAAGGTCACTACTAAAGTAGAAGAAGAAGTTACTTGCATGTCCTTATTTGGTGTGTCTTCATCATTATGGCCTAACAACATCACCTTATCTTGATGGCTCATGTAGTTGTTGGGGATGGTGATGGGCATTAATCTATAGATGGCATCGATGAGCCAATCATGGCAATTAGATAAGGAGTAATGGTCTACGCAAACGTGCTTAGAGTTAAAGATGGAGATGTTATGCTTTTGTTGAAGGAATTCATACCTACTTTAGAAATTTGTTGTGCTTCCTTGTCTCAACTTAAGCTTTCCTTGTCGTCTTTCTTCTCTTAGCTTGACATTCCCTTCTTCTAGAGAATGGCGAGCTTCCCTCTCCTCTTCCCCCTCTCTTCTTTTCTATTTCAATTTCTCCCTTGACATGCAGTCTTTTTCCTCTTAACTACCTCTTGCAAGCTTTTCTCTCCCTTCATCAGGCTATTTTGACCTGCTTCTTTATTAACTTTGCTTATGGCTTTGATTCTACTAGATTTTGTTTTGATTTTGCCCACCGAGCTAAGTAGTAAAGTTTTGCACCATCTTAGCTAGTAATGTTCTCTCTCAAGCAATCTTGCAAAGAAGCTAATGGAGGCATTGTTGACCACGTTGCTGCCACTAAAACACTCCCTTGGTGCCTCAATCCATTGAAACTATGACCTCCTTCGCCACTAACTCTACATTGTCGGAGATGTACAATTTCCCATGCACTATTGCCTTCTTGCACTTTTGAGAGTTAGGAAAGAATATCTTGCCCGCATCATCTTGCATTTGCAAGATTCTCCTGTAAAAAAAAATCAAAATTGAGAATGTGTGTGGTTGTATGATGATTAAACTAGTTATATATATATATATAGTTTGCATTTCAGCATGCCTGTGTACATCTTAGGAAACTAGGTCAAGATGCGAAACTACTAATAAGGTGAAAATAGGTGATAAAGAGGGGGGGAGAGAGGAGTAGAGATAATAGCCATTGCATTTGTTTCTCTCTGGTTGGCTCTATTACCATGGAAGTTCAGGGAAGAAAGGGAAAGGTTATTTAAAGGGGAAAAGGAGAGTTTACGAGAGCATGCCCAATCAATCATATTACTACTTCATCTTCTTTGGATTTGTGGTCTTCTAAGAGCAAGAGAGAGGGGAGGGAGAGTAGGGGGAAGAGAGTGCAATGACGCAAATAGAGAAATGTGGGCCCCGTTATATTTAAAAAGCAATTGCAGTTAGTTTAAAGCTAACGGTGAGGGTGAGAAATATGCTAATTTTAATTGTTCATGACTCAAAATATATCATTTATAAGTATAAAATTTAAATTGTCTTTGAATTTATAGTTTAAAATTTAAATTACATATTAACTTTAAAATATTTTTTTTATCTATTAAATTATATCTCCACTTCTAAAAATAAAAGTAACGATTAATATTAATAATATACACTTGATTTTTTTCAATGAAAAATTTATTTATTTTTGTATATAATTTTAATTATAATTATTTTTAATATCTAAACCATACAATCTTTTTTTAAAATAATATATAGATTTGTGATGTCGCTTTACGTTTTGAAAGACGTTTTAAATTTTATATATAGTTATACACAATTTTTAATCTGATGATTCTTTTAAGTTATGAAATTATTTGTACAAATCACTTAAAAGAAAAATTTAAAATAATAAATTAATTGCTATATATTAATTTTAAAAAATTTTGGCCCCCCGCGATGTTAACTCTGGTCCGGCCCCTGCCCCAAGGAGCACTGCGGAGCAACCATTGCAAAAGTGTTGGTGAGGAGTTCAAATCACTGTGATCATGTGGCAGCTTCAAGTTTGGTGCATCCACCGCAACTCTCCTGCGTTGACAAACTGACGCTGAAGATCGTCAGGTTCAGTCCCAAGAAATGAATTTAAGTATCATTTTTATGAAACATGTCAGTGTAGTTCATCCCGTAGATGCAATACTCTGGTGATCCCAAATCGGTTCATAATTTGGTTTACAATTGTTTTCAGATGCATGGCGGCAGATTTGTGATCTACTCGATATCAACAGGATTCATGTACGGCAGGCATCCTCGATGCTTTACTTTAATTTGTCAACAGTTTGGATAGGGGCAGGGAGCCGAATGATATGTGAGGAAGCACTTTGCTTCTGGCCTTGTGGGAGAGATCACAGTAAGACCAACATGTTAACGCAACGTTTTTAAACCTGCTCAAATAACCCAAAAGTCATTGGGCCTTCATTTACATGATAGAATGTGTCCAAGCTATAAGGTCAAATGCCTTCCTAATTACCCAAAGAAACAAAAATTAAAATGTAAAGAACCTCACGAGTGCATTCTTCATTTTTTTTTGTTTTTGAATTGGAGCAGCCTGAAATTATAAGTAGGATTAAACTTATAACCTTCAACTTGCAAGATCGTTTGTTGGCTGAGTGCATTCTTCATTGAAATATTCAAAATTGAAATCTCAATGACTTTTTACAATAGATTTAAAAAAGATTATAAGATGTCTCGTTAGTTGGTTTGACAAGAACATTATGCTAATAGTAAATTGACCCCTTCTCCCTTCTTATTTAAATATTTAGTGAGTGTTTAGTTTTTGATTTGTCAAATATTAGTTTATCAAAAATTTATTTAACAAAGGTCAGTTGTTATAATGAAATTTGTGTTTAGATATTTTTTTTTCAAAAGTCAATTTAATAATTTAAAAGTTGCTTGAATTATGTCCTTAAAATGGACTTTTGAATATATAATTACCAAATGAGACATATATTTATAATGATTCATAATTTTTATTATATAAATGTAATATATTTGAAATGTTAAAAAATGTGATAAATTTGTTTAAATAATATAAAATTTGATATTTTAAATAGTAGAAATAAAAAATAAAGTTTGATATATTAAAAAAATTATATAATAAATAATTCAACATACATTAATATTACAAATTAATATAATTCAAAAAATATATATGATCATTTTTTTTATAAAAAAAGTTTAACTAACCAGACAACTTTTATTGTTATTTAAATGATGATCACATTTTTAATAAATTAACAATATTTTTTAAATAAAAAATACTTTCAAAAAGTATATTTTTGTGTTTATGTAGTATTCAAATAGTTTTTAACATCTCAGATGTTGGGATGTGTTTTTTACATTCTAAATATAATTTATCCAAACAGGATCTGAGCATTAGACAGGAAGAGCGGATATGTATAAGTGGCACTCATCTGCTAAAATGTTTACTTAGCAGCCTAGCAGGTTGGAAAACAATAAGCTTCAATCGATGTTGAATATGGCGGAAATACGATAGCTTTTTTCTGATGAATGAAACTAATCAATTTATATTTGGTCACTCGTTTTACTTTTCTTTCAAACACAGTAAAAAAAAATCAATTTTAAAGGGTCAAAAGAGTGTTTTTATTTTCTTTCCTTTTGCATAAAAAAAAGAGAGAGAGAGGGTTTTTAATTATGTAAAAATCACGGTGGGGTAAAACAAATTGTAAATCACCAGGGGAGGAACGGTGTCGCTGAGAGCAGGCCCTTAATCCACGAAATTATGTCCCCAAGATGTCCAGACACCCTTATCCAATATCCAGTCTCCGTCGCCGCTTCTTCTTCGGCTCGTCGACTCTGCTGGCTCCATGATGCTGCTGTTACCTCTTAATTCAACGACCGGTAATAAAGAGTAGAGTGAGTTTCATCCTTTTCAGTGGCAATGGCGCTATTTCGTGGTCCCAGCTTCCCGTCAACGGCCAACCTCTCCGTAGAACACCAACTTCGCCCGCTCTACTCTCTCCACAATTCTCCCCATCCTTCCACCGGCAATCTCTCCTTTTATCCCTCGCCTTCCCCGTTTCATCTTCTACGCCTCTCCCTTGCATATCCCTCAAGCGCTAGATCCAAAAAAAATTCTCCTTTTCTGCCGATATCTGCCACTGCACCCCAGGAACTAGCGTTTACTTCCTCTCCTCCGGATGTTTCCGATGACAGCCAACCAACTGAGATACAAGCTGAAGAATTTTCTGGAACCAGGTTGCTTGCTCAGAACCTACCTTGGACTAGCACTCCTGAAGACGTTCGTTCTTTGTTTGAGAGGCATGGAAGAGTCCTGGACGTTGAGGTTTTCAATATCCTCTTTCTGTTTTTTCCATTTTCCTTTTCTTTTTGGCTTGGGCTACATTTTCTATTCCCTTTCAGCTTTCGTTTGTTAAACTGACAAAGCTTATGTTTGTTTTTGCTCTTAAGCTATCGATGTATAATAAGACTAGAAACAGGGGTTTGGCATTCGTTGAAATGGGCTCGGAAGAAGATGCTCTTGCGGCTCTGAAAAGTCTCGAATCGTATGTAAGCCGCGGCTAGTGTGTGTGTGTGTCTCTTTGTTGGTCTTTTAATTTGTTGCAGTAAAGGTTTTGGCTTTTGATTTCATCAATTGAAGAACTAGACTTGTTTACGGGAATAGACTGGACCTAATAATGCCGTGTTACTTTTTGTGTTAGAGGTAGGATTAGGCTGTGTGTTATTAACTCTTGAGGGCACTCGTTTGAGGAAAATAGATCATCTGTGCTCATGCAGGGGGTTGGAGAAAAAATAGGTCATAAATGGTCATGCAGACGATTGGAGAGTCAATACAACTTATAAGAAAGCTAATGTGTGTATGGGGTCTGTATCTTATAATAATAGTACTATTCCATTTTTTTCCCTACTATCTCATCCCAAACATACTACTTGCAATCAATTTTGTGAGGTAGAGGATCCGAACTCTCCGTAGGTGCTCTCTCTTTAGAATTTTATTTATGATGGCTTCAACCTTCTGATATAGTGATATCTCATCTTTAATTGACAACTTCACTGTTCTTCACATTCTCCACATCTAGAGGAAGATTTAAGTTGGGTATTGGCTTTTTGGTAGGAATATGAAGGGCGAATACTGAGACTTGCATATGCTAGGCCAAAAAAGCAGAAAGCTCCACCTCCTGTGCAGCAGAAGACAGTAACATTTAACATATTTGTTGCAAATTTGTCGTATGAGGCGAGGTCTAAAGATCTCAGGGAGTTTTTTGATTCAGGAAGTGGTACTGTTGTTTCTGCCGAGGTCATATTTCATGACAACCCTAGAAAGTCCGCTGGTTATGGATTTGTATCATTCAAGTCTAAAAAAGAAGCCGAGGCTGCCCTTTCTGATTTCCAAGGGAAGGTAACCATGGACTTCGTACTTCAGTAAATTGATTGAACATGTTATTATTATTATTATTATTTTTGAAAAACATAACTTTTGATCCCTACTCTGCTTGTGTTTTGTTATAGGTCTCTACATTTTTTTCCGTTGTTTTGGGTTTCTACATTTTCATTTTTCGGTGTTCTAGGTCCCTAAATGAACAAAGTGTAGGGATCTTGGAGGGACCTAAAACAGGACTTATAGCGAAATACCAGCAAAGTGTAGGGATCAAAAGTTGTGTTTTCCTCTTTTTTTTTGGGAGAAAAAAGATTATATCATTAAATAATTAAATTACAAGCAATTGATTGAACATTTTCGATTCATAAGTTTGGGTATTTTCCTTCTCATGTTTTTTTGGTTGTAGTTTTTTAATAGTTTGTAATGCCAAGTTTAACCGAAGACGTGGGTAAAATGGCTGTTTTGTAGATTTTTATGGGAAGGCCAATCAGGGTGGCACGGAGTAAGCAGTTTGTTAAACAACCAATAGAGGAGAGTACAAGGGCTGGAGATACATCTTCTGAGACCAGCGTGGATGGGCTAGAAGCAGAAAAAGCTGATTGATTCCATCCTATATTGTATGATTTTTTTGCAGAGCTTCTATTTGTTTGCTCTCTTTGTTTGATATATGAAGTCTTTTGATAGAAATCATTATTATTTTACAGGTGGTTTGCTTTGCACCCTTAAACAGAGATCCATTTGTTACAAGGATTAAATAGCCGTACTCATCCAATATCTGAGAGTCAGTAAAGTCTTTCTTGTAAACAAATGCAAGAGGATTCAATTTTGTTTATTGCCATATGCCATGCTGTCACAGTTGTCTGAATGCTATTATATCTAATTGAAATTTTAAGAGGGAAGCTCTATGTAATTATTTTACCTAAATACGTTTTACACTACTTGGAGTTTGGTGTTTGAAATCATTACTTTCTAATTTATGCTCTTGCTTTTCGCACGGAATTACTTTCTTAATAATTCTACGTTGAAACATTGTTTTCTTTTGACCCAGACGAGGTTAGTGGATGATTGTTGCATGATTTAACCAAAACCATGCCGTTACTACTCGGGGCGTCTTTATGTATTTCTCTTTCCGTGTAGCTTTAAATATGACTGTAATTAACACGCGATGGTATTCACTCTAATTTGCTTTGTCTTCATTTGAGGTTGTGGGTTGAAGCACTGTCCTGAATGCGGCCCTCAAAGGCTCAATTCAACTACTTCATATGCCATTGCCATTACTATTCTCTCATAGCCCCAATATAGAGTTTGAATTTCCCTTGTTCACTGAAAAATTGTAAACGGAAGGAGATTTTGAGGGCTATACAACGCAAAGCAGCATCATGACGTGCCATTTGTTTGACCTCCTAGCAATTTTGCGACCAGTCACGGAAGCTACTGCTTCTAAATATGCTGTAATTTCTCTGCGATCTGCTTGGTTTGAAGTCACCATGCTATACATTGTTAAATTTGTTGTTGGATATATTCGTTTTGTTCCGCAGACCTTGACTTCGCAATCGCAGGATTTTTGCGGGGTGGGAAGCTTTTTTGCGGTCACAAAAGGGGGCGATGCCTTATATATCGCTCATCTGCAATTTCTTCCATTAGCGTATAGGTGTTCGAATTAATATTTATGTGCAAAAAATCGCCAGATTATGTTATGGATCATGATGATGAGTGACGCCATGTACAAGGAGAGACGCAGTCTATAACGAATTAGAAGGAATCAAGCGCGTGGAGAGCAATATCGTGAGGGAGTTACACCAAGTAGTCTTGGAGGATGTTTGCGAGTTCGGTTTTAATGCTTCCAAACAGCCTTTTTTTTTTTTCCCAACCCAACAACTTGGGAAACGAATGTTCTGCCTATGAGAAACACATGCTTGGCTACTTATTTTTTAATTTGACTTGTGCTTATTTCAATGGCTTTAAAGATGGTATTGGGGATAATTGCTCGACAAGATAACGATAGGCTTTTTTTTTTCTTATAAAGATATTTATGTCTTTAATATTATATTGTAAATATAGAAATTTTTTATTAACATACCAAACTCAATTTTTAAGTAACTTTTCCAACCTGGGTTAGCCACGATAAATGATTTAACCAGCCAAACAATCAATTGAAAAGCAGAAGCAGGGTATCCTATAGACTAAGGAATCAATCAGGCACGGCAGCACCGGCACAAAACAAATGCGTCCCCGTGACGCACGAAAGTACCCTACAGCTGTTTCCCATGTGATCGCTGTTGTAGCGTAAGCGAGACACCTGTTCGACCTCAACTCCTTTTCCATTTTTTCCTCTCCTTTTTCCCAAAACTCTGTTTTGTGCATCAAAAGTAAGCTCTCCCATGACTTTTTACTTTTTTTTTTTTTTAAATCAGTGAGCTCCCTCGTGGGCCTCACCGCCAGTTGTCTTCAGCGCTTTCTTTTCTATGGGATGCCATGATAAAGACAGACAATTGTTCCCTCCAACATGCCAATAAAATCTCATAATCACCAAATTGACCTTAATACTCTCGTAATCTAACAACGTCCCCTTCCCTTGACAGAATCGCATCTATAATCCAACCGTTAATAATGTAATCAAGCACGTACGAATAGATATATCCAAAAACGAAGTAGACTTTTGAACAGAAACATAAATGATCAATGATACAAGTCACCCGCAATAAGAAATGCCAATCGTAATATTTATAAGCAACGCTATCCATATAGTAAAAATTAAATAAAAAAACAATCAAAATCAATCGCAATAGCCAAGAAAAAAAATACTAGATGCTCCGTGTAGTAATAAACTAACAATACCTCGATCCATCACTAACATCCTACCTCCATGACTAGAATACCGATTTAAGAAAACTCGTTTACTGTGAACCATACCCTCCTACACATACTAACAATATCAAACCCTGACCATGAAACTACGCTGCGACCGTCGATCAGATCTGAAGCAAACTAGCTGCCAGAGCAACAGCGGCTGCAGATCCAAACAGTGAGCCCCATTCCAGAACGGCACCGCTCTTTGGAGGTGGAGAAGCGGGAGCCTGTAACGGCGTCTCGCTGATGCTCGGTGCAGAGACGGTTGGCTGGACAGTGGGCGAGACGGCGGGGGACATCGGAGGAGCGGGAGGAGAGGTGGTGGGGGACGAGGCCGGTGGGGTGCCGGTGGCAGTCGGGGCAGATGTGGGGGCCATGGACGGCGGAGACGACACTGGAGGAGAATGCGATTGACGAGCAGAAACCGGCGCCGGGGAGCGCTTGGGGGAAGCGGCTGGAGAGGCTCCAGGAGCATTGGTCTGAGCAAGAGCCGACGAGGCCAGCAGGGCCAAGATCAAGACGAAGAAAGCGTTGGCCATTGTCCGAGTCTCGAGAGAGTGCAGAGAGAGCAGAGAATGCAGATGCAGAAGCAGCGGGACAGTGAGGAGTGGGGAGAGGGGGGAAGGAAGCGAGGTATTTATATTGAGGGGTCTTAGGTTTTAGTCGGTTCGGGAGGCCTCGTGTCGATAAGCGGCGAATATTTTAATATAAGGTCCTTCCCAGTCAAATAGTCAACCGCGATGAAAGTTGCGTGAGGGACAAACGAAAAATACAAAATTAATGAAAAGGGAAAGAAAATTAGCATCAAATCAAATCATCTGACTAATTACACTGACTATAGCATGGCATAAACTTTGGGATTTTTCAGCCAGTAATCGCCGACCACAAATTTCAGGAATGGACGGGAACAACAAAAATCGTTGGTATTCTGAAAATATAATTGATCGCAATTATGCATAATTAATGTAATTCTTTTCATCAACTGCATTGACGCGGATGGAGAAAAATTCCCGGGGCAAGCTTCCCCAACAAGAAAGGGGGGATGTGATGTGCTTTCCCAATAATAACGAACGTCCACGTCCCGCAAGCTCGAGAGATATTAATCCCACATGCGTGGAAGTGAGAACTGAGAATAGGATCATACTATGGTTTCTTCCGGTGTGAAAATATTATGCCCTTGAGCGGCAAATGAAGAAAGCGACAAAATCTACCCATGCGCGGGGCACTTTGGGAGGACCAAAACCCATTTTCTATATTGAGACACGCAAACGGAAGCGTGTTCATTAACAACTGGACCAACCGGGAAAGATTGACATTCTATGGAGTTATTTAGTAATTTGGGCCGCTCCTTGATGCACTGGCCCGTTGTTACCTAGTGTGTTAGTTAAAGACGTTCGAGGTTTCAAATGACTGGCCTATGATCTGCTTCCAGGAAAGAGGAATTTGAATTTCGAATTTGTAGTTGTTTTGCCCATCCCAGTCACCACTCCGCAACCCATGCCATATCAGGATCACCACAGACCCATATATAGGGCCAGTAATTTAAGAATTTATGCTAAATCCAACATGCCAACATGAATTCATTCAAAAAATTTTAGGACATGATTTAGTAACATAATAGTTTTTTTTTTATATTCAGGCCAATCTTGATACCTGAATAAAAAATAATATTTTAAAAACATATAAATTATGATAAATATAGTTAAGTTTTAAGTTATTTTATATAAAATACTGTATGTTTAAGTGTATTGCCATAAGTTTTTTTTAAAATATTAAAAATATTTATATTGTCATGTTTTTATTACCTTTAATCTATAAGATATTTCAAAATAATATTTAGAATATATTTTAATATTAATTTTTAGATTTTAAGCTTCAAATATTTTTTTACATTTTTTTATCTCATACATAGTTTAAGTATTCAAAAAATATATTTTATTTTTTTACAAAATAAAATAATCAATTTTAAAGTAAAAAAATTAAATAAAATTTAGATATTTGAGTTACCCAAACGTGAAGAAATTCAAGTTGGATATGAGTATTTGAATCTTTTTAAGAAATCGATTATGTTTGAATTTAAACTTTAAATATATTCAAGTCAATTTTAAATAAATTCAACTCGTTCAAATTCTCAGCTCTACCTAAGTGTGTATGGTCCCATGCCCATGCTTTGTGCTTACTATTACGAAGCACATATTGCGAACGGTTTCTTTCAATCCAGACCTAGAACTTGAAAGCCACGTAATTTGGACATTCTTAGCAGTTTTCCATGAACAAGTACTTATATTCTTTTTTTCCCCTCCGTCCTCTAATTTCCACAGCTTTGTCTGAACGAAAAATAACTGAAAAAATAAATTTCATGAGACTCAAAATAGTTTAAATTCGCAGCACAAATAAAAAAAATCAAATATTCATATTAAAATGAAATAAAGTAATCAACGTTATATCAATTTATTTTAAAATAAATTATACGCTGTCAATTATATTGTCCATAATTATATATAAATGAATTTTAAAAATTTCAGGTAACTTGCCAATTATTTTTTAAGTCACCCGTGTCTATAAGTTTTTATTACTTATCGTTATCAATATATGGATACAAGTCAACATCAGCTGGCCGTTATTTATTTAACATATTACTGTTTGGGTTAACATTGACAAAACTAAAGTTTACATAAATTACAGTTTGCAAACTAAAATTGGGTAAAAGTTAATTAGTGCTGCGTAATTTATATTTATATATTTTTTGTAAAAAAATAATTCAAGAAACTGAAATTTATTTAAATATGATACACTAAAAAGCATGTTTAGATTTATAATAACTGAAATGGAGCTCGAGTTTTATGTTGTAATATATATCATAAGTATATAATTTGATAAATTTTTTCTATAATCATATAAAAATAAAAATGAGTTAATATATTATTGTAAAAATTATTTGTAAATGCTAAAAATATTAAATTTATATAAATTGTAAATCGTAAATGTCAAAATTTTAAATCATAAATATTTCTAAACAGCTGTAGAATTTAGAAGTATAGTCCTGATAACTCTGCTATTCCCACATTTATTTTTCATACTATTTTTGTTAATTCTATTTTAACATTAACCTTGTTTTTATTTTTTTCTTTTTATTTGTTAATATAGCTGTCTTTTTAGTTAAAAAAATCCTAAATATTTCTAAACATGGACCACCGACAGTGAAGTGCATGTTTGGATAACATTCTAACTTAAGTTAGGATGGCCTAAACCTAGGTTGGGATATAAAAAGCTCAATTTATCATGTTTGGATAACAAGAAAACATCAACCATAGTTAGGCTCTCGACCAGCGTTCTTAATGAAGCTCGTCAACCCAGCTTTTTCATTGGCGTTCTAGCGCTTGGGTGAATTAACGTTGGGAGTATTAAATGCTTTTTAAATTTTTATTCTCTCTCCTCATTATCTGCAATCTACCCGAGTCCGTGAGTCCCAAGCCTCCTTCTTCGTTACCGCCGTCCTATGATTGCAGAGTTATCTGAGCTTGCAACTAATGCTTTGAGTTTACGAATGAAGACTGAAATGCTTAAAAGGTATGATGCAGAAGCTGCTGCGTCCAAGCTCCTCTGATCCTATAATTTGCACTGTGGGTAGCGCTTCTTTCTCTCTCAGTCTTCCCTCAGGAACCCACAATCTCACGTTCTCATTTCCTACCAAGAAACCTAACTATTCCCACTCCTGCAATGGCTTGCTTCATCTACTTCATCTTTGGCTACGTCATTTATCAGTAAGAAACCCTTTGCTTTAAGCTCTACTCTATCGTCTCACTACTTGGCCACTCTAGCTGCTTCTTCAAAAAGTTCCTGCATCCGTAGGTGTGCAGTCAATGATAGGATGCTTTCTCCAGCATGGGTTTTGGTTAAAGATGGAAGGAATGGGCCAAGAGTTGGGCGGTTGCATTCGAGCTCAGATGGCTCTTCTCTCACTGTTTCTGTACATGAAGCTGCAAGCTCAAATAACTCTGTTATCGAAGATTCAGGGGAAGAGGGCAAAAGCACAACTTCGTTGCCTTCAACGGTGAACTCACGGCAACTCCCTCTCACGCCAACGGCCAACTGAGAACAGAGAAGGAAGGAGAAAAAAAAAGACAGAGATGGAAGATGGTTCTCGACTTCTTCACTCTATCCCTAGCAATTAGCACTTTTACGTTTGAAAAGAAAGAAGAGAGGAAAGAGAGAGAGGGAAAAAATCTAATTAAGGTGGGGGCATAATTTTAATTTTTTGAGGCTGAAAAAATAAAATAAAATAAATCAGGACTGGAACACAAGACTTGATTATTGATAACTTAACTTAAACTCCACAAGAGCAACTCTCTTTAATAAATTTGTATCAAAATACATAATATCATTAAAATTCCTCACCATCAATTTTTTAATTTTAAATAAATTTCAGGTCATTGCATTTGGAATATAGAAGAAGAGGTTTGTAATTATATGAAAAATACCCAAATTTAAATGCATGAAGGATTATTCTTAATATAATTAGAGATCAACTTATAAATCATATTAATTAAATATTAATTTATTTTAGGTTTTTATGGTTGAATATTTAAGATATTTTACTTATTAGTTGTGATTTTAAATTTAATATTTTTTTTATTGATTAGCTAGTCAAAAAAATATAAACATACTTATTTAAGATTTAATATTCAAGACAAAAATTTTATGCTTATTTTTGCCATTAAATATCTTAACTGACTTTTGAATTAAATCATCTAAACGAATTTCAGTTTATTTGACTGAATTTTTTAAAAAATAGTATCCAAATATAAATTATGTTATATCAACTGATTTTTTTTCTAATCTCAATTGAATCCTAACTTCAGTTGTAAATTTTTTAATTCAAACACAGACGAAAATAAAAAGAACGCTAGATCCCAATATTTAACGGATCAAGCCCAATGACAGAGGATAATGGAGGTTGCAGACCCAAGGCCTCAGCCTATGTTCCAGCGAACCCCCGAGTCCCCGACCCACAAGAAAGGGGTAAGGTAACGAAATTCAATTGGAGGGGAGGCGGGCTGCTGCGCTCGCCGCCACGCTAACGACTAACGAGAAAATAGCGCGTCCGGCCACCTGTTTCACTTCAAAATTTCAATTTAGAGCCTTTAAGCCACCACAGCCTCTTGCTTCTCCTTCACCACTCCTCTCTCTCCTCAATTCTCTGCTCCATATCTTTTCTGGGTGTTTACTTTCTTCATTACTTCCAGGAATTTCTCAGCAACTTCTTATTCACCTCCTGCTTCCAGGTCGGGATAACTGTGCCGTGCTCCGCTCAAAGTAAACGACCATATCATTTCATGGCGCTTCGTTTTGAGGTTGGGCTTCGTATTTCATTTGCCTGCATGTCTTTGTAACCATCGAGTAGGGTGCATATGATCAGGCGCCCAACTCACTAATTCTAAGCGCGTTTTAAATATCTTAACTATGTGGATGTCTGGTTCAGCCGTCACCTGATGACTGAAAAGCATTTCTGCATTACATTCATCATCTCATAAATATTTCTTGCGATGCTCTAAACTTTAGTTGTTTATTATTATTTGGGTGAAGTTATTTTTCTTAATATTTTTAGGCTCGTGTCTGTCATGCTAAACACGCTAAACAATCTGCTCTGTTTCCTATCTTAGATTCTTGGCCGGTTCAACCGGGCTCGTGCAGCTCGATTGACACTCCCCCAATACGTGTGCCAGACGCCTTTGTTTATGCCAGTGGGCACACAAGGTCAGACTTAACTGATTTCCTTGTGATTATTATGGTAGGCAAGCAGCTACTGCAGTCTGCAAATGTAATCTTTCATGTAAACTTCACCACCTTTTCAAAAGTTTTTCATGCTATAAGAGAATGAAATTTGCTTTTCATTTGGTCTCCAACTTATTTTTTTAACTAATCAAATCTTTGGCGTCAATAATAATAATTTTACTGGAGTAAGCGGCTTGTTGAGTTTTGTATGCGATTGTAATTGAGTCAGTTCATAATGCAAAATAGCTTAAACTGCTTGAGTAGGATTTACCATAAGCTTGTATGCCCCTCATATTTTTCATTACTTTTTGATGCTGGACTTCTTATTATACTCTAACATGCTTCAAATTTTGTGATAAATTATCTTATTATAATCCATTATTCATCTGCTCGTCAGGAACAATAAAAGGACTGACAACAAACCAGCTCGAGGAGATTGGTTGCCAAATAATACTTGGAAATACTTACCACTTGGCCCTTCGACCCACTTCTGAACTTCTTGATGAAGCTGGTGGTCTACATAAATTTATGAACTGGCCACGGGCTCTACTTACAGACTCTGGTGGCTTTCAAATGGTTGTTATGCATATTTACAATGTCCCTGCTCATTGCTAAATTTGTTAATATTCCATATTTCTAGGACAGTATTTTTATATGATAATAGTTGGTCATGCCACATAACTCATGCTAATTGTTATTGTTAATGGACTAAATGTAAGATGCACGATAAGGTGAAAAGGAGGGTTTAAAATAAATGATCTGTTGTGGTTGGAGGGTAGATTTCCAACTGAAGCAAGTATAAGATAGAAGCGAATTGGCATTTTTCAGTGTTTTTTTCCTGTCCATCTCATTTCCTTTTGATTTTATGTGAGTAAAGTTTTTGTTTGCAATTTTTTATTAAAATATTAAATATGTATTATATTGTTTAAATATGTAGTTGGAAGAGCCATTTTAGCCAAATATAAGAGTACTATTGATATTGAAAGTAATTACAAATCTGAGCAATTAAAGTACAGATGATGATCAAAATGATGCAGCTAGATTTGTCGTGTAAGATTAACATGTGTTATATTCTTGTTATTTTATCATGGATACATCCTTTTGACAATGATTTTTTCAAACTTTCTTTTATATTAGGTTTACAATGCTCTATCTCACAAATCTATTCTGATGATGTTATAGGTATCACTATTGCATCTTGCTGATATCACTGAAAAAGGTGTGACATTTCAGGTATATTTGAGTTTCAAGACGTAGACAAGGGTTCAAATGTGTGTTTTGTTTGATTAAAGCAAAATGTGTTCCGCTCCTCTTTTGATATTAGAATGCAGTTGAATGAATGAGATTGTGATTTTGTTTTCTAAAAAATGTGTAGACTTTTCTCATTGGTTGCACTAATGGACTGCTCAACAGAGATAGATTAATTAAAACCTTATCTTTTCCCTCCTTTTGAAAAGGGCCATGATCACATGTTACTTAATCCTTAAAAGATGTGATGGAAGAGCTATTCTTCTCAAGTTGCACATCATTTTGTTGAATGCACAATGAAGATCCAAGTACGGTGCACTTCCAATGCCAACTGGTCTTGAATCTTAGATTGAAATTTCTTGGACTTATATTCAAGAATGCTGTTCAGGCAGTTTCCAGTTTATTTGAATATCTCTTACCCTCTCAATTCTAAAAATCCTTTTGAGCTATGATTATGAAATACACTGCCGTTCTGTTGATATTTGTAACTAAAAGACTTTCTTGTTTTCAGTCACCAGTTGATGGAAAACCAATGCTCCTAACCCCTGAGGAATCTATTCAGATCCAAGTAGGTATATTATATTATGATTTTTCCTTTTTATGTTTCTCCTGGGTGTTTTCTTTTGCATCATCCTTATGGAGTATAATCTATTTGAAGTGCGTGAGGCTCTGTATACAATGATTGGCTTCAAGTATAATTAATTTATGTTATACTTGTAGATATTTTCAGTCCATGGTTTTCTGTCTTAGAAGGATGCTCTTTTAAACTTCCATCATTCCACGAGTATTTGAAGTTTATCTTTGTTGTTGAATATTTGAAAGTTGTTTTTTCTTAGCTTTATTTCACAAAGAAACTTTTTTGCCATTAACCTGCCTTTTAGAGTTGCAGTTGTAATACATGAAACCCTGTAGAACTCCGTGTTGATGTTGGAATGTGATTAATTGCTATTAGTCTCTATCTATCAATTGTGTTAATTATATTCGGATGTACTTTGTTTCTACTTTTAATTGATACTCCCACTGGTCCTAATTGTAAGAGCCCGTTGAGGACTTTGGTTTGGTCATTAATGTAGGACCTCATTCACTTCTGTCTGCTACATTAATTGTATTTTCCCCAAGAGTCCCCTATTTAATGCACCATTTTATTACTGGAAAGGAAATAATTAAATGAAGTGAAATTAAATGAGATTGGTATTTCAAGAAAACTATCACAAATTGTTGGTAAATAACTAACTTCTTGTCTTAATCTCTATGAATTAGGTTAAAAAACCCTACAACTAGGACCAGAGGGAGTAGTATTTAATAGCTTGTGCTTGCTTAAGCTGTGAAAGTTGATTATTGAGAAACGTTTGGCTACAAAGCTGCACCCTATATTTCCTAACGACTTAACATTAAATTCATGTTCTATCCATCCATGCCCGTTTCTATAGTTGCATGCAATGCTTGGAATTTCAGAATGTTTTAAACCAAATCTTGGACCTATACTTTTCTACAGTAAACATGATTCTACATTCTCCCTCCCCCTTCTTTGGTTTTATTTGCAAACTATTTATCATTTTAATTTGACCTTCGGAATTCAAGCCCTTGTGGTCAAGAGCCCTTTCAAATACTAGCATCTGGTGGCTATGCTTCATTGCTTAAGGTTAAAAATAGTTGGAAAGAATGTAGTCGAAGTTTGCAATGATTGAATTTTTCACCTAACTTTTCCAGCAGGTAAAGATTGAAGATCTAATCTGCTCCAAATTCTTATGCTTACTTTTATTAATAAATTCTGCAGAACAGAATAGGAGCAGATATTATCATGGCTCTTGATGATGTTGTTAGGACCACTATTACTGGTCCACGAATAGAGGAAGCCATGTATCGAACGCTCAGATGGATAGACAGATGTATAGCAGGTAATTTGTTAGTGAAAAACCAGCACTAATCTCCTATGACATATTATGCATGTATGTGATTCAAATCTCTCATGGTTGTAATGACCCTTCAACCATGTAACAAGTAGATAACTGGGTATTGGAGAAATTTGGTACACCCTGTGGTGCCAATCTTATGTAGTCTGGCAGCTCTTAGATCAACTTGACTCTATAGGACAAGGATCAAATTTTGATTAATCGAACTGAAGAATGAACTGTGAAGTAATCAATTCTATGATTTAGGGCTTTGGATATATCAGGCTGTGTACTAAATTTGACTTCAAATTTTCTCTTCCCATATTATAAATGCCAGTCAGACTTTTATCAGAATCAGAAGGAATTACCATGCTCAAGCTGAGTCAAGAGTTCCAATTAAATCATAACTGCTAATTCATTTTTTTGGGCTAGAATCAGAACGTAATCATGAAAATGCTCTAAACAAAGCCAATCAAACCCTAAGAATCAGAGAATCATCACGTCGGGAACTTTATTGCCATCTTTGAATTCAACCAATATTGAAATCATGATTTATTTTTCTTGAAGTGTTCTTTCATTTGTATATGTCACTTATTTCTTGTTAAATTTCTGTATCTTCCCTCAAAATGATCGGTTTAGCCTTTGTTTGGCAAATGCACACTCTGCCCCAATACTATTTAGTACACATCTGTGATGTAGAAAATGAAGTTATTACATTAGAAGTGAAGATCCTTACACTTAGCCGTTATTATGTTTCCTCTAACCAGTCTATTCATTCAGTATATGTGGAAGAAAAAATGGAAGAAAAAAAGGAAGATTTACTGTATCAACCAAGCATCGGAAAATAGGGAAACACATTTATTTAAGTGCTCTTGTACTGGCAGAGAAAGTCCTTTTTTTTTGTCACTCTGGGGGTTCATATTGTCGGTGGAAAAGGTGATCTGAAGCACAGTAAATCTATTCACCTGTCGGTGTTGAAGTTCCTTACATGGTGCATCATGCATTTCTTTTATCATATATCGCATCCCAGTCAGTAATTTCCACTTTTAAAATGGGAGTGAAGTGTGAGTAATATAGATAAATTGTTCTGCTTCACGCTTCTTAATTGAAAGCAGTCTTCTCTAGATTTCCCGATTTCCCATAAATAATTTTTTTGTGTCACTCCCATGTAATGTTGCTTTTTTATACCAAATATTTATGCGCATTACCGTCTAAGCACAGCACACGAGGGACCACGTGAGCGGAAATTGTTTGGTATCATACAAGGTGGTTTAGATCCTGATGTTGATAAATTGTCCTACTTCATGCTCCTTAGTTCTTCTCTTGTATTCCCAATTTCCCATAAATAAATTTTTTGTGTTAGTCCAATGTAATCTTGCTTTTCCATACTAAATATTTATGCTTATTGCCTTCTAAGAACAGCACACAAGAGACCACATGAGCAGAACTTGTTTGGTATCGTACAAGGTGGTTTGGATCCTGTGTTGAGGTAAATTTTAGTACAAACTTTAACCTTTTGCTATTTTTTTATCTATAGCATTTTTAATTCCTTTTCATTGTTTTACCAATATGGTCAATGTAACCTGCTTTTAAACTATGATGTAATTCAATCAGGGATATATGTGTCAGAGGCTTAGTGGATCGCAATTTACCGGGGTATGTGTCAAGTTATTAGTAATGTATTAATAACTCTATTTTGTCTCAACCTCGGAGTTATTTCCAATGTTTATGTAGTTTTATTGCTTGATGATTAATTTCAAATGACTCACAGTATGTCCTACTTTAAAAGATAGACTGCATTCTTTCCATCAAAGAAAGAAAAGCATGACGGATTCTTTATGTGATTTCATTGCATTCTTTCATATATATCCCAGAGTCAGTAACATTCAAACATTAAATATATCTAGATTTGTCAAAGATGTAGCCTTTTTTTCATGAATAGACACAATGCACGCACAACACGGCCTTTTTAATGGGTAGTTTTTTTCATTAGTTGAGGAGCTAAATGGATTTTTTTTCCCTGCCACAGCTATGCTATTGGTGGTCTTGCCGGTGGTGAGGATAAAGATTCATTTTGGCGTGTTGTTGCTCAGTGCACTGCTGCTTTGCCAGAAGATAAACCACGATATGTTATGGTTAGAAACACAGACTAGACTGACTTCATTCATGGCGCAACCTTTTTTTTTTTTTAATGTATTTGAATTGAATATCGGGATACTTCGTTGGACTTCTTTCAGGGAGTTGGTTATCCACTTGATATAGTTGTTTGTAGTGCTTTGGGTGCCGACATGTATGACTGTGTTTATCCTACCCGTACTGCACGCTTTGGCACTGCTCTTGTTCCTCAGGTGATTAAGTTTTTTCCTGTTAATTGACAGTTTGTAATGTTCCAAAACTTCAGAAATCCATAAGTAGACAGGCCTTAGTGTAGGATGTGAGACTGCCAATTTTAACCCATTCCTAATAATTGTATGTGTGCTAAGTCTAGAACATTGCGTTGAAAAAACATTTTTTGAGGACTGATGATGTTGCCTTTATCAACTCTCTTTTTGGTGAAATTTGTACCCATCTAATCAATAACATTCTAAACCACTTCTTTTATGACGCCTTTTGAGAGCTCTTCATTCATTATGGATTTCGGAACTTGTGTAATTTCAATATTTTTGTAGGGAGTACTGAAACTCAAACACAGAGCCATGGCTGATGACACTCGTCCCATCGATCCTTCCTGCTCTTGTATGGTATGCTTGTAAGTGCAATTTTATGTTTGATGACGACCTCATAAAACACGCGTTTCTATTTATTTCGTCTACCATAGGTGTGCAAGAACTACACCAGGGCTTACATCCATTGTCTTGTGACAAAAGACGCTATGGGGTCTCAGCTTCTGTCATATCATAATTTGTATTATATTATGCAGGTATGAGCACTGTTATGAACTGTTATTATATATTTCTGATTCATGGTATTTGAATTCATTTGGGAGATTATAGTAAAGGTCCTTTTGAGATATGCAGCTCAGCAGAGATCTATACTCATCAATAACCGAGGGAAGGTTCCCAGAGTATGTCTACATTTTGAATTTAATGATTTTTTCTCATTGTTCTATCTAAATATTCTGATCCAAATTGATGTTTCCTTACCAATAAATTTACCCCTTCTCTATATGGCAATGACAGTTATTGTTATTTGTTTTTGTAGGTTTGTATGTGACTTTCTACATAAAATGGTATTTACTCCTAAACTTTCCCCATTTAAATCGGAAGCACGGACACGCCAAAATGGGTGCCGTGTCTGTGTTGGATAAGTATCCGACACGGACACGCGTCCCAAGCTTGGGTGCGGCGTGTCCGCTGTTTTTATTTTTTGTCGATGTGTTCTGATGCGGGCGGATGAGGGCGGGGACGGGTTGGACTCGGGACACAGCGTTTTCTTGCATTAGTTCATGGCATGCTCATCTTACACGCTGACACCCATGTTTTAAATTTATTATGATGGAGATCAGGACAATATTCCGCTGAATTTACACACTCAGACCCATGTTCTAAATTTACTTCTTTCACTAGTTCGCGGCATGCTCACAGTCACTCACGTTTTCAAATAACTTTTGTCTTAGTTTCTTTTCTTTCTTTTTATGTTAACAGGAGTTGATCTTTTTCTCCCAAAAAAAAAAAGATAATTTTTATAATTTTGTTTATATTTTTATTAGCTCTCCTCATGTTAAATTTGCAGGAAATTGTATTGAAAATCTTTGTATGTATCTAAATATTTAATATTTAATTATTTATATAGCTGTACCTGTGTTTTAAAATTTTTGAAAATTGCTATGTCCATGCTATATTGTATCCGATACTCGTCCCTATATCGGTGCCTCATAGTTTATAATTAAGTATCGGTGCTTTATAGTTTATAATTATAACTGCTCCCTACCTAACACGCACGTATTCATTTATTATGCACATGCAGCGAACAGAACCTATCTTGGCCAAGAGTCTATCATGTATTCCGCTCCCCCACCCCTCCTTTGTTGAATCTTTTTGGCGTTATTATGTTGAGTTAAATGAGACTGTCTTAGCCTCCCCGACCTGGCAGTTTCCTGCCACCACTTAAGCCAAGAGTCAAGGTCCTTGCAGTCGTTATTGAGAGCGGATGGCATGTTTAGGGTAGAGTTAACAAAAGACCTTGCAAGGATTGAGCCACTTTAGGGGTAATACTAATTGTTGCCCCAGACTTAGCCTTGGGTGCCTATTTCTGGATATATGCACTCTGATCTCTGATAGGCATTTCTTGAGAGTTTTGAACCAAACGTAGAATATAAACTTTCCATTTATATCGATGACACTCATCTTTTTCTACTTAATGTTTGCTAATTGAACCTCCTCACATGCCTCATGCTGCAGTTCCCGGAAGGTGATGTTCCAGAATGGGTCTGCAACGCTATGGAAGTGGCTGGAATTGACATTTCTTCCTGTTGTGCTCCGTTCTCATCATATCAAGAACGCAACCCCGAAAATTGTTTTAGGGAGGAAGGGATGGAAATGAAGTCGGGCACACTTTGAAGTGGAACAGGTCCGTGCTGAGGATGTACAATTTTATTTTGGAGAGAAAAGAGAAATATAATTCTCGATAATTATGTTGAGAGTTCTACTTCCGGAGAGATTGCGCGTTTTTATTATTTGAGATACTTTCACAGGAAATTTTTGTCATAGTTTTCATTATTAATTATTTTTGTAAAAATTAGAATGTCAAATTCTATCTAACGATGAAAATGCTCAATCTTTTACGAGGCAGAGTTTTCTATAGTCACCTTGTAATTTACTGGCAGCATAAATTTTGTACCCTTCTTTTGTTGCCTCTGGAGATTATGCAGTACGCACAATTAACAGTCTATCCCTTATTTTGTTTGTCTCTTTATTGACCATTCCCATCATACAAGGTTTGTATCCTTGAAGAATGAGTAATGGATGGGTTAGTTTAGTCTCGATTTTACTCATGTTCTTTCGCATTACAATGGATGCAAATAGTCATTATCTTGTGCTACAACCAATAACTCTGGTACTGCCATGACAAGTTAACGGAACTATAGCATGTCCATGATTTTGGGGACCCACAGTTTCTTGTCTTTATGTTATAACAAGTTCAGATTTGAAGCCCTTCTTTTTTGATAAAGGATTTAAAGCCATGTTGATTTGGAATTTGCAACTCCAATCTATCATGCTTCACCTCCTTGTAGCAGAAATGAGGCCGAAGGTCGCAACTATAGAGTGCTCATCCCTGTTCCCATGTGGAAAGAGGTGCCATCCTCAAGCAACATAACGTTGAATATGCCATTTACTCGTCAGTTTACTCACGATGTGAATCACATGTTATTTTGATTTCAATATCCTCAATTTATTTAACTTAATAAATAATGCTAATATTATTGGTTTAATGATAGGTATTTGGAATAGGATTAAATGGCAATATGGGCGATAAACTATAGATTTAAAAATGACTTAAACTCATAACTTGTATTTAACATATTTTGAATCTTAAATAATTAAATTTGAGACAATCTCGTTCCCACCATTAATTTGAAAGTAATAGGCATTCCTTTACACATAGTGGGCTCATCATTTTCTGTTGCTTCCAAGCTTTTGTTGCTCCCCCCGGCGTCGTCTCCTCTCTCCTCTCCCTCCCTCCCAAGGAGTCACATGCAAAAAATGTTAGCCCACATCTTGTGTGCCATTCTCAGGCACACATGCATGAGCTTTTCCCTCTCTCTTTGTATTTAAATGTAAGGCCTACGATAGGCATTTTGCTTCTCTATGTGGGTTGCAGACTCTAGGGTATTTGTTTGCTAAGAAAAGAAAATGAAACGATACACAGAGAGAGGGGGGGGGGAGGAGCCTATTTGTTTGCCATTATTCCCTGCAAAAGTTCTATGGAGAAAGCAGATGTAGAGATCACATGGCTGCTAGAGGAAGAAGAGGATAATGGCTCTGGTAAAGAGCATGGTTGATTATTTCCATGTGGGACTGCAAGAAGAGACAAAGGGATGCGCTTGTTCATGGTGGTATGCGATTTCTTGATAACGTTGGATAAGGCATGTAAAGAGGTTCAAGATACGAAAACAGCAAAGGATTCCAAGAAAAGAGTTTGATGACTTTGTTGTCTGTTGTAGAGACTTGGTGGCCACGGGATATTCACAAGTGATTATTTCCGACAATCACAGAGCGGCACATGGGTATCTCCGATTCTAACGATGAGAGCTCATCACCACAATCATTTTGGCTTAAAGACTATCCCCCTCTACTGCTGCTTGATTGGTCCTTTGCCTCAAGGCAGCTTCATGGCCCACCTTGCGACTGTTGTCAACATTGTTGGTGGTTGGATAGGGAAGGCTCGATACAAGCTTTGAGAAGTTGAGCCTGGCATCATGGCGTCGAAGTGCAGGGCGGCAATGTTATGTCATAGGCACGAGGAGACAGAGAGAGTCTTGGAAAGGGCCCACCATGTGTAAAGTAACGATCGTTAAATTAAAAATTAATGATAGGGTCGAGATTGTTTCAAATTTAATTATTTAATATTTAAATTATACTAAATAGGAGTTTAAGATCCTAATAATCGAAACTTATAATTTAAGGTACACGTTATCATTTAACCCTTTATGATATTAGATTACTGCTGCACCTTTCTGCTCTAAGCCAACCTCAATCTTTCCTCTGTTAACACAAATGTCTACGGTATTTGAAGGAAGTGGGTACGTCCTGAAAAGAGATTGATTTTTTTTTTTTTTTGGGGGGGGGGGGCGGCGGGTGTTTACCAGATATAGAGGAAATGAAAAAGAGTGAGATGGATGCAAATATTCAAAAGCTTCATTTATCTTATTTTAGTGCTATTGTTTTGTAGGTCTACATATTTAGCTTCCATTTCAATTTTGGCGCACTTGTTTGGGAATTTAAAATTTTTTAGAATCGTGTCGAGTTTAGGATAGAGAAATTAACAGTGATGTTGATGAATAATAAGGGAGAAGCAAATCTTACTTTATTCGCATGGAATATATTGATTTTATATATAAGGCGGTTAGAATTTAGGAAAACAAGCAAAGTTTGGAGGAATTGAAGTTGAATAAATTTAATGAGAAGTGAATATTTGAAAAAAAAAAAAAAAAGAGGTGTATCGGGGACAACCGCGTGTTATTGTCACCGTCCCTGGTCTTCACCAACCAACCCCCCACTTTTTTGCCCTTGGATTCATTTCTTTCTATCCATCTTTTGTTTGTATATTTTATTCACGTTTGTTATTGTATTTATTTACACTCACATCCTAAGTATTAAAAGAATTTAACCTCAACAAATTCATTTCGCTCGCAACATACTCCTTATTTTTTTATTTGTCTAAAAAATAAAATAAAAGCAAGGGCCGTAATAGTTTGCGGTTATCGTTGGAAGGGAGAACAAGACCCGGGGTGTGTACGAGGCGATTAAGCAAGCACCTGGTAGTGCTGATCTGTCGCTGTTGTTGGACTTGGACCAAATCTGGATGCACATTCGTGGGCATTCCTGAAAAGAGAATGAGTATGAAGGGGTGCAAACAGTGACTTGACTTCCTATCTGCCTCCATAACATGTGGCCGAATCTCATTGGTGACCGGAAAAGAGTACCATTGGCTCCACGAATTAACAATTCGGCAACGCACCATTCGTTTGGTTGTTCTGAAAGGAACCAGCCAATAATTTCTTTTATAATAAAAAGAATAACAAGTCTATCGAAGGAGCTTCACAAAACGACCACGTTTCCCCGTCTGGTTGCTAGAATAAATTTTAGGAGAAATCGCACTCAGGGCCTTAAAAAGATAAATTATTACACTCTGAGCCTAAAAAATTTTGATATTGCACAACAGGTCCAAGAGTCCTTATTTTAATCTTTCTTGAGATCAAAAGTATAATTTTACCCTAATGATTTAAAAACACAACCTGCACAATAATGTATAACACAATGTTCATATATTCTCAACTGAAAGTCCATGCATATTCAATTTATCCGCAGGCATGATACAATGTGTAAGTTATACAAATAATGTACAACACAATATTTATATATTCTCAATTAAAAATTCATGCATATCTAGTTGATTAATAGTTTAGGCTTAAAAAATATATGTTAAGCAGACAATGTATAACATAATATTTATTATACACAACATAATGTTTGTATATTCTCAATTAAAAGTCTATGTGTGTCTAATTAATCAATAACCAGGCTTAACAAAGTGTACAAGTCAGGCATATAATGTATAATAATATCTACTGTACACAATACAATGATCATATATTCTCAATTAAAAGAGCATACGTGTCTAATTTATTAATTGGCTAGGCTTAAAAAAAAGTTTTTCAAGTTTATAAATAATAAAAAGTTTGTACATAACATGACAAGGTTTATTTATTAATAACACAATGTTCATATATTTCACATAGTTTGTATGATTAAACTAAACATTTAAAAAAGTTTCTTAAGTTTATGAGCAACAAAAAGTATGTATATAATATGAAAGTATTCATTTGTTAACATCATAATGCCCATCCATTTCACATGGTCCATGTTGTTAAGTTAAACATTTACAGAAGTTTTCCAAGTTTGTGAATAACTAAAAGTTCATATATAATATTTATTAATAATATAATGTCCATATATTTTATATGGTCCAATTAAGTTGAAGATTTTCAAATAACATGACAAGTTTTACAAATTAACAATACAAGGTCCTTTTATACGATGCACATGAACATGTACACAATGTGTTTATATATTAACCACATGTTTTGATTGAATTTTCAAAAACAAATACATCATATCTGGATAATTTACAACTTAGTTTACAACTAAATATCTAATATTAACAAGATAATGTTCATGTTTTCACAACACACAATTCAATCTTTGGATTATCAGAAGATCGAAGAGTTGAAATTCTAGAAAATGCTACTACAATATGAGATGTAAAAGTCATCCTCCCTATAATCTAATTCATTGAGAGTTGAAATTAACTAATTCACAACAGAACATTCATAAACAATATCAAAAGGTCCATATATTTACAACACAAGGTTTGTTTATATGATACACATAAACATCTGCAAAAGTTAATTGTAAAGCTTGCATAATGTAAATTTCATAAATAATATCATAAATTTCATAAATAACATATACACTAGAACATGCATATCTACTATAAAAAAATCTGTATCAGAAATAATAAAAAATTCATAAATAATAACTTATTTTCATTAAATCAACAACTATGTCTTACTTGAAATTTGCAAGATAAAATTTACAAGCAACTCATTTGAAATTTACACTAAAAGGTCCAAAAATAATAATTAAAATCTATTCATTAATAACAAAATGTCCATTTAAATACACAATCATTGGTCAGTGAAATATTTTACAATAAAATAAAAGGAAGGGAAAGAAGCATGGTCTAGGAAGTGTAAGGAGATGTTTTCCAAAGAATTTAGTGTGATGGTGCTGTAAAAGCATGATCACAATCAAATGTATTATATTGGTGGGAATTCTAATAACGTAGAATAAGATACGATCCACTCTTATGCAATGGCTTGTGGTGACAGTGGCGAGTTTGCCATTGGCTATGTACCTGTAGTGGCAACTACCCATGATTCATGGCTATATTAGTATGCAAGACATTACATTTGCCCTCCTATCCATTAATAAACACCATCTTTATTGAAAAATTATTTGAAAAATAATAGAAAATCAGTATGGAAGAGAAAAGGAAAATAAGGAAGTTTGAGGAAGAAGAGAGGAGAGAAAATGCAAAGTTGAGACTGAAGCAATTAGGGTAAAATTATATTTTTAGTTTCAACAAAAATTGCAATAAGAACCTTAAGGCTTGTAATGTAAAATGTCAGACTTTTTCAAGCCCAAAGTATAATAATGTATATTTTCAGTGCCTTACTGTAATTGCCCCTAAATTTTATCACCAAAATTGAAGTTTTCCACGCCGCCCCCCAAAGAAAGGTTCGGGTTTGGCCTTTTCCACGTACACAGTTGCGACTTGCGACCCTGCCATCTCAACCACTGACTCCCCCGGCCCTCAATCACAGACGTCCATTCCCCCAATTTCAAAGTCCATTTTTGATTTTTCAACTCTCCCCACAAAAACCGTCAAAAGACTTCAGTTTGGAGAAGTTCCGCACGAAGCTCCCATGAACTATCGTGGAAGCACCTCTCCCCAGTCCCTTCCCTCTTTTTCTCTCTATATATGAACCAACCTGCCCTCATTCCAGATGATGATGAAGCCAGCCTTCAAATATGGTAAATCTGACGAGATCCTCCAAGCACAAGAACAACGTCGTCGGGCGCTTCAGGCATGACGCCGGCTGCAAGAAGCACCCCAAACACCACCAATCGCCCGGCGTTTGTTCTCTCTGCCTGAGAGAGCGCCTTTCCCAGTTATCTGCTCCCTCCACGTCACGTGCCGCTCCTCCTCCTTCTTCTGCTGCCACTTCATCCTCTGTTTCTTCTCTGTCCTCCTATTATTCCTCTTCTTGCGCTTCTTCTTGCGCTTCTCCTCCTGGTGAGGGCAAGACGACTAACTCATCGATCTCCATCTTTTGGTTCAATGCCAAGCACGGACTCCTCAAGAGCAGGTCAATGGCTGCTGCTTCTAGAAGGAGAGATGCAGTTGGTGATGATGATACAGCTGCTAAAAGTTGGGGCTTCTTGTTCAACTTGCTTCGTCCTAGACATAAGAAAACGGCGCACAAAGATGCTCAGCTGGTTCGCTGCTCGTCTGTTAGACAAAATGTGACAGTAGCGGGCTAACATATAGTCAATATCTTTTCAAATCAGGGCGTTGATTGCTATATTATTGATCAGCAATTCTTTCCGATTCTTTTCTATACAGAACCTAGCTGGGGAGAAAAAGCGACATCCTGCATCGCATTGCACATGCATTCTGTATATAAATCCATGCACGCTCTTTGTATCGTGAAAGAGAAAACAGTAGCTAGCAATTTAATATTAAATTTATTATGTGATTAACAAGGTCCTTTGTCATATGTTGTACTTGTGTATTTGTGTGCACATAAATTGCAGAAATCAATCCTCAGACGCAGAATTGAATAATTTTATCATTGATGTTGTTCTATCATAGTTGTGAATAAGAGGACAAATTATTGCTAATTATATTATACTTCTCGGACTATAATATAAATAATTGTTAACTTATTTTAAAAAAAATTAATTAAAATTTTATTTTAATTTTCTAAATTTTTTTACATCTTTTCAATTGTGGCTTTGAGAGTAACAAATGTAACAAATGATTTATTCAAAACACTCTTATTAATTATTTAATAAAGTAAGTGGTGTGATTAAAAAATATTAAATACCTAGTCAATGTTCTATATTTTAAACCAAATAAAATGCTTAAAAGATGATTTATATTGTAGTTGCGAACAAGTGTGTGAGTGTGTACGTAGATGCGCGCGCAATGAATGAATTGGTACTCCTACCATTTTTATTTGAAAAAAAAAATTACATCAGATTTTAAAAAAAATCAATTAACTATATTAATTATATTTAAAAATATAATTAAACTATAATATCTTTCATTAATTATGTTAATTAAATTTTTATTAATTATTTTTTATAATTATAAATGATAAAATTATAAAAAATAATTTAAAAAGCTTGCAACAAATATTTATTAAAATATGTAATTTTATTTATATAAAAAAATAGATTAAAAGTGATAGTTTTTCCAACATTATTCAAGGACTCGATTGACTGCTTCGATATCAGTTGCACCATCGACGAAATTTTCTCGAGGTTACAAATTCCAGCCGTCGGTCCGCGGTATTGATGTTTGCGACTTTTAATTTTCCAATGGCAGTCTTTATTTTGTCTTTAGTCTCTTTTTGGGCCAACATCTGGTCTTTAGTCTCTACACATGCAGGAGTTAGTCGTAAATGAAATGGGAAAAACTCAGTCCTGCCTGTGGGGCCACGCAAACACTTGCAATTTGCAATTTCCCTTTGTATGCGTTGTAAAGTTCAAACTGGTGAGTTGGCAACAGAGCTGAAAATAAATGCTCTCTCCAGAATTTAAAATTGGAAGTACGGGCAAGAAACGACACCTAGATCCAATCTTCACGCCTTCACGGTAGTTTCAGAAGGTACATGCTTTCGTGCAAGAAAGATCTTTGCACTCGGAAAATAAAATATACAACTATATTAATCGACGTTCACCAAGAGGTGGCTCCGACAGCTGCATAGTAGAGCAACTCTCGATAACATCTCTGAGATATATTGGCAATATATAATATTTATGTTGCACGTTATCAAGTGTGTGCTTGTGAATTTCTTTTCAAAGGGCCGGCGGTGACAAACTAATGGAATGCTAACATGCAAGCTGACTAAGTTTAGAGGTATATCTCAGTACATTGAAAGTTAAGTTATTGACTTTTTGGAAAGAAGTTTCTTCCTTAACATGATCAACGTTTAAAGCCGATTTATTGCCATCAAATTCAAGATGTTACCAGCAAGTGCATTAAACATAGAATGTAAATTTTGTATCAAAGAACCTACCTCACGAAACTAGAATTATATAAGATTCTGACTCTGCAGCTCTATTTATTGAGTGGAAATATATACTTTTTAACACTTCAAGAATTTGATATGCGTAACGAAAGCGCGCGCGCAGCCCAAGCTATAAGTGTGCGTATACCCAAGAATAATAGGACAAAACCAGTGATACTACAAATACATGCAAGTGGTGAGGCAGAGAATACCTAGAGGAATCATTTTAGTTGAGCGGTTGCGTTCATCTTTCACTGGATGCATATATCATCATCTTTTTGTTTCGTTGCACTTTTCAGCTAATTTTTGTCATATTTGGTCGGCAGACTACAGCATTCTGCACACATCATCACGTCTGGTTTTCAGAGGGACTTCTTATTTTAATTTGGTATATTTGCTGCGTGCTTAATTAATACTCGCCAAACACACATAGATGTGCATCTGCATGTTTTGTTTTATTTTTTTACCAATGATGGGTGTCAATCTCTCCGCCAGATACTTGCGGGCTTTTTTGATTACGATTCTTCCTTCCAGTTATGACCCGCAATAGAAGTTGGCCTGGTTCAGTGGAGTTTTCCTCTTCGTTTGCCATGGGCCGTTATCATTAATTAGGAATTAACTCAAGGGCGCAAATATATATATTAAAAAAAAAACAAACACACACACACTCATCACTGACTAAATCTTCAAGAGATTTCCCGTTATGATACAGCATTTCGCTTGTTCGATAAATAATGGTCAGTTTATATGCCAATCCTTTCCATTCATGATAGAGTTAGGGTGCAGGCGTTATAAACATTTTGAAGGACTGGAACTGAAGAATATATATAACTAGACAATCGCTTGTCAGTATTGTAGAATGAATAGGGGCGCTGGTAAGGCGCATATTATCATGTTGATAAGACATGGATACGGATGTGGATGTAGTTAAATGTGAAGGCATGGGATGTTCCACCTCATAATTCATAAATAGAGAAAGCATGGTGGTGATCCCTCACCCTTATTTGGTGGGGGGTTAGCTCGCAGTCGGCAGAATTAAAAAAACCTGCGTGCACAGAACACGGACGTATAACACGATCGTCAAACTTGTACCGTAATCTGCACCGCCTCTCCCACCAACTTCCCCATCACTCTGATAATGTTAATGCCACCGTATATCTTGCTTTTTTTTTAAAAGGATATTATTCAGCCCCTGGGTCGATTAAAACTATATGAGCCTGTCCAAATTCCCGCCCCATATGTGTCGATGCTTTCTTTATGCAAGCAACTATCATAAAAGGTTTAATAGGTCTGCAGAAGATTTTTTTTTTTTTGACAAAAAAAAAATCACATCCTAAAGTATTGTTTAATGGAAGACTGTACATTGTACAATGATCACAGAGCTTCTATTCTATTGATAATCATCGCATAGATACTCCTGTAAACGGTAGTTACTAAACAAACCAACTCTAGGCTCAAATTTTAACAGTATCAAAGCAATTGAGTTTAGTTAGATTTTAAAAGCAGAATTAGGTAATCATCACGTGAAATGATTTCTTGGTAGATCTTGGTAGGTGAGTTGCATCAATTTTTTCGTGAAAAATGGTCTGCTATATCCTTTTTGGCCACATAAGATGATCTCTTGGTGAAAGAATGACGCGTGTATCTTTCTCTCATTTTTATTTACACGAAAAAAATTGAGAGTTTGGAGCACCATTCCACACTCAATTAGCTTTATACCGTTGCAAATATTTTAGTTTTTAAGAACAAAAATAAATATAAATACTAAAAAATTATTTAATATTCTTAAAATAAAATATATTTTTTACTTTATTTTATCCTAATTATAAATTTTTTTATTTTTAAAATCTATGTGAATCCCTCTTGAAATTAATAGTTAAGAGTTACAAAATACAAATATGTCTTTTATTTTAAAATTTTCATTTTCATCTATCTAATTATTAGTTAACAGTTAATTCATATATGTTAAACTAAAATACCAATCTTAATATATTCTTTTAAATTTTTATTTTTATTTTAAATTTATTAGTCATACAAACTAATTTATTTAGTAGTACTCCATCTTTTTAAAAAATGTAAGACATTTTTATAGAATATGATTCCTTAATAAAATAGTTACTTACCCTCAAAATAATACTATCTTTTCATATTTAATATTTAATTAGGTATTTTTTGTAATTTTGGTAAAATATTTTTAAATTATTGTCACACTTAATTGTTAAAAGTTTTTTTTGTGATAAAAAATTGTTTAAAGTTTCTTAAATTAGGAAGCGAGAGAATAAACAAATGGATTATAAGAGTAAATTAATAATTTAATTTTTTTCAACATATATAAAAATAAGAATAAATTAAATATTTTAGAATATCTAACATAATATTTCTAACTGTATTAAAAATGAGATTAAGGTGTAAGTTTTAAATTTATAATTCTAACAAAACAAAAGAGATGTCAGTGTATTTTACTTTATATTTTATCAATTTGTGCAAATTAAAATCTAAAGAATATTTTACTTTAAAATTTTTTATGTTCATACATATTAAAAATATAAATAATAATTTATTTTATTTTAGAATGTATTGTCCCATGTGAGTTAAAATTTAAGGAACAAATTTTTTTTATTCTTTTTTGTTTCTTAAGTTATCCCCCATCCAACAAGTATGAGATTTAAATTTTAATTGGATAATACCTATAAAAAAATGGCTTATAATTTACAATATGCTACTCTTATACATATTAAAAATATCATTATTTTTTAAAATTTATCACCTCTTGCAATTTAAAATATAATCTAGCTTGTTCTTTTTTAAAATGTATTACCTCATGTATCACCTTAAGGAAAATTCATTTTATCTAAATTTTGCTATCCCATATAAATTTTATTACATATCTAACACCTATTATTTTCATTAAGAATCTTATGTCCACCTCTAATTTTTACTATGGATCCTATATAATCTTTTAAAATATAAAAATCTCATTATTTTTAACACCTTATTTAAAATTTTAATGTTTACAAATAAACATTTATATGGCAAATGTTTTTCATCCTATGTAAATAAATTTTATTGATTAAATTATATGTTTCTAACACCTATTATTTTTATTAAATTTTTATATTTATGACCAATTTTTTCCATGGATTTTATATGATCTTTCAAAATATAAAAATCTCATTATATTTTACACCTTAGTTAAATTTTTAAAATTTATAAATGTAGACCCCCATTTATATTTTTTTAATGGGAGGTCCCACACACCACTTTTCTAAACCATACTACTCCAATTTTTTAAAAATCAAGTTTATTAAAATCTTAAATTCTCTTCATTCCTCTTAGAGTCTCAATTTATACTGAATTTTAAATATTTAAACATATAAAAAATTTATAGTTGAACTCGAGTCTTGCCACCTCTAGCTTTGGAATTTATTTAGATTGATTTAACTATTTTAAATTATTAAAAATTATTTTATTCTAATTTTCTCTTTATTGAGTTCATAAATTGTGTCTTTGAGTATTTTTTTTTTTACCAATTTATATATTAATTTTCTAAGAAGTTACAAAACAAATATATTTAAATAATATTTTTTGATAATTTAAATAATTTTTAGATAACATTTATATTTAAATAAAAATATTTTAATCCAACACACGTGACTTAACAATCAATTAATGATTAAAACAATGAAAATAAAATCTTAAAAATAAAAAAACTTGTATTTTATAACTATTCATACTAAAAAATATTCATATAGGTTTCAAAAAATAAAAGAGAGGTATCATTAATTAAGATAAAAATAGACAAAATATTTATTCATTTTTAATTATAAGTTTCATATTAAAAATATACTTTTTGTAAATCACACATGTACCTCCTTTATTACAGGATCCACATTATTCATTACTTTTTTTTAATATATCATATTAAAAAAATTAACAATTAAAAAAGTAAAAAAATAAAAAGCCGGATGGGCATTTACAATGTATTGCAGATGCCACCTTAACTCACGTGGGTGACATATCATCTAATTCCCACAGTTTGAACACAATTTCTGATTTGCGGCTGGAAGGTCCGTTTAACAGGGCATGAGAGGCATGTTGGCGGAAAAGGTGGGGAAAGAAAAAGGAAAACTTCGAGACGGGGTTTACTTAAGTAAATCGTTTGGCACAAGAAATAAGAAACGAGGAAATGAAAACTGGCATGTGACTTCTATCCACGAGGCATGAATTATACTTCATGGAATGTTGCAAAACGTAGGCAGGCATGGATCAAATTGGAGGATATTGAGTCAACTGACATCAAAAAGAGTATGCAGCTTAAAGTTCTGATGACATAATAGCATATCTCTCTGACAGGTGAACTTCATAGATCTCAGTTGCAAATTTGCTAAGCAATCTCGTAAAATCCCATGTAATAATAGACAATCTCTTTGATCAACTGATCAAGTCATAGTCACTTTCCTCCCACAACTATGCATAAACTCATGTATCTCCTCTTTAATGCCGTAACAGCCCTGACAGCCCTGCAAATGGAAGTGAATGTAATAATCTAATTTTATCCAGATTTTGGAGATATGATTTTAAGGCCACCCATGAAGGGCCTCAAGGGCTCAGGGATGACCACAGATCCATCTTCTTGCTGGTAATTCTCAAGCAAACAAATAATCATCCGAGGTACTGCACAAGCAGTTGCATTTAACGTGTGTACAAACTGTGGCGGAGCAAGGTTGCCTTTAGCTTTTTTTGTGTTTGCGGCTGGTGGCCCAGATGGACGATAACGAATTCCTAATCGACGGCTCTGATAATCTGTGCAGTTTGATGCACTTGATATCTGATAACAATACAAAATCACGTGAGGAATATCTCAAGGATAGCAGATATTCATGACATTCGTAAAAAGAACAGCAAGTTACAGCTTCTGTGAGCACACTCAGCTGCTATGCGTGCTTTCTCCAGATAAATTACAAATCAAAATCATGGATGGAAGCAGCGATACTTTAAGGCCCGGACGCAAAGAAAAGTTCATGGATGCGTCCATGAAAGTTGACGAGTCAAAGCAAGTACCTCACCAAATCGTTCTAAGCCGGGCATCCACGCTTCTACATCAAATTTTCGATGAGCAGGGGCACCTAAATCTTCAGAGGCCATATCCAAAGTTCTGCCGAAAAAAATAATAATAATAACTATCACAACAACCAAAAAAAAAAAAAAACAAATCATGTTGAAGATTAAGAAAAGGATGGAATAACTTACTTATAATGTAAACCTAGGGATAAGAAGAGGTCTTCTTCTATAGTAATAAGCTCCTCATGGTAGTGTTCACTCTCCTCAGGGCGGCAAAAAATAAACATCTCAACCTTGCTGAACTGGTGAACTCGGTAAAGACCCCTGTGCAATGTAGACATCACCAGAAAATATGATTCACAGATTCATAACAGGGTCAATTTTTAATGGTATATCTGACATTCCTGAAACAAGTAAATAGATGAGGAAGGTGCTGGAGATCCCTATAATAATTACCATCACCATCTAAAGATGTTAAATATATAGCAGCTACAGATGGTACAATAAATTTAGAATGACTAATGTAGCATGAACCTTGTATTAACTCATGATGAATAACGTAGTTAGAATATGGGAGTTAAGGTTTGTCATTGGAGGTTAAGAGCTTAAGCATGTATGTATGTATGTATGTCTCGGAAGATATTTACATTACCTTGTTGCTGTACCTGCAGCACCGGCCTCAGTTCGGAAGCAATGAGAAAATGCAACGTATTTCAATGGTAACAATGAGTCAGCAAGTATTGAATCCATGTGAAGGCCCGCAACAGGAATTTCTGCAGTGCCTATGAGGCATTGATCACCATCATCAATGGAATACACCTGTTTAATAGTTGGTATATAGCATCAATATGAGCTATGGTCCTTGTACATCAAATTAGGAAAATGAAAGCTGAAGTGTTTGCCAGGAAAAGCTTAACAGTATCAATTTGCATCATATTAGAGGATGGAACTTTACTGTGATTATCATCTGAAGACCAACCAATGTATTGAACTCATGCCCAGCATACAAAAAACAAGATGATGATGGAAGGACTAATAGGAAGGACAACTATTATTCTAGCAGCAAGTATAATATCTAGTCCAAGATCAAAGATTCAAAATAGATGAGAAAAAAAAGTCTGTCACAAGTTATGCACTACTCAGGCTTGAGAAGCAAAGATTGTTTTCACAGAACTTGACAGGAATTGCATGACGTCTGGCAAATACAATCACAAACCTGCGTATTAGTTCCACGTGGTTGAAATCCACATTTTTCAACAATAGAGGAGCGAACGATTTCAGGAGTTATTAATGGCGTAAAGCCTCTCTTCATTACTTCTGAGAGTGTCCAATTTACAAGACCCATCTCCAACAAAACTGCTTCATTCTTCAGGTAATAAAACTTTGAACCACACGCCTGGTACAGTAAGCAGTACATTAGAAGCACGAGACAGAACTAAAGATAATTATGTCCTTGCATTTCATGGAAGTCCAATAAACATCCAAAATTTCTAACATCCAAATTTCTTAAAGTGCTTTAGATGAAAATAATGTTTATATATATAAACCTGGTGTTACATGAAACATTTGATTGGGGAAAAATGTTAATACTGCTTCAATCTAATATGGCAGAAAAAAGCATCCCTGGCTACTTCTATAAAGAAAATAGGTTGCTGCCAGGGTATACCTGCACTCCCTAGAAAAATAATGGATTTAAAGGATAAAATCCCACCACCCATTTTTGTTTAAAATTCATGAATTCACCTTACCCGGCTGCCACAAACTACTAGCCCACAACAAAAAATGACATAAATATACATGAAGCTCAAAGATATAAAGCTTTAATACCTTATATTAAACAATGGCTATACCTCAGCAGCAGCGTCAAAATCAAAAAAATCAAGTTCCTTTCCAAGTTGCAGATGATCCTTGGGAACAAAGCTAAACTTGCGAGGACTGCCAACCTATAAAGGGGCACACTAAATTAATATCTGATGAAAATCAATTCAAGTATTGGACTATCTTCCTGGGGAGAAGAAAAGAAAAGGTAGAAAGTTGCAATGATTGACAGACCATCTTCCTTATTGTTGAACTATCTTCCCCTCCTATTGGAACATCTGGATGAGTCATATTCGGTAAACACTGTGCTTCCTGTTGGAGCTCATCGGTAAGCTTGACAAGCTCTTCTTCCAAAGCAGTCAGCTGATCCTTCAGACATTTTCCTGCGTGCACAATATGACAGGTTTAGGCAATTCATTTTAACACTAGAGAAAAGACAGGCGAATGATAAATTCTCCAAGAGCACCTTCCTCAATGAGTCTCTGACGCTCTGATTGTTCCATTTTTCCTTTCATCTTGTTGGCTACCGCATTCCTTTCCCCACGAACTCTCTCAACTTCCTGCTATCTGTGAGAAGCAAATTAGCTAAAGCATTGACAAGAGAAGGACTTTTTCCTTTCTCCATTTCCCTATTGAATGCTTGTGCTATGCAATCAAGTTTTACAAACAACTTCGAAATGGTAATCACTTAGGATTAAGCAATGTCCCTGAGATACGGATAAACATTATATTGTAATTTGAATATAAGAAACAGTCCAAAGTATAGATAAAATAAATACAAATATCAGAGCGTTTAGCTTGAAGAGAAACCTAACCTTCTGAAGATTAAACGTTTTCTCATATATCTCAAGCACAAGGTCTAAATTCGCATTAGAGTTTCGATTCTTTATGTTGGCGGCGACTGCTTCCTTATTATCCCTTATCCACTTGAAGTCTATAGCTGCCTTCCACGGAGCATTACCACCTACATCTCGCAAGCATCAACGTCAAAATTCCGTATTGGAGTTTCACAGCTAAGAACCAAATTAACAAAATCATAATTATAGCAATAATAATAATAATAAAAAAGGAATTACCTTTGTCGTCCAGGGTCTTCGATGTTGAATACGATGAAGCGGGAGATGTCTGGACGGCAGCAGAGTTTGAAAGAGGTCTAGTGAGACGTGGCAATGGTAGTTTGAGTAAGTAGCCAAGGGAAAGAAGGGAACTGGTTGGAATGCTATGGGCTGTTCGGAAAACAAGGCGTAAGGAAGATGAATGGGGAACTGCAGCAAGTTGCAGACTTTGAAAGGGGGTGCTGCTCAGGCAGCAGTCTAAAGCCATGCCGCTTCAGTTACAGCAAGAGAAGAAGCTTGAGCGAACGTCACGAGGCCTTAACGTTTTGGCCGATTTTATCCACTTTTCTTTTGGATCCTTGTATAAATTGCATTGTGATTATTCTCTTGCTCACGCTAAAACGCATCGTTTTTGTTTACTCAATTTCAGACTCGTGACGGTGAAAACATTACAATAATTATGAAAAATTATTACGACAAATAAAAACATGCTTCACTAACCGAAATTGCTGAAAGATGGATTTGGACTCTCTGTTACCGTGTTTTGGGTTTATTGAAGTTACTTTAGAAATTGATGAATTTCTTGGGCCAAATAATAGTGCTTTTTACGGACATTTTTGCATTGAAAAAGAGGCATTTGAGCTCTTCAAGAGCCCTAATTTATAACTTTTGAAAGTCGGGGGAATTAATTATGATTTCTGAAGTCGGACATTTTGAAGACAGACTTCTACCGGGGCCGGAAAGTAAGAAAGAAGATATAAAAAGATAGGCTTTGGCTTCTACCCATGGCAGAAAACAACTCTATAAATAATAGAAGCATCCGCATCCAACTCAAGCTACTTCGAATAAATAGCCAAAATTTATTATTAACCCAGTGTGTTGAATTAAACCTCCTGTGAGGCATGAGAGTTTCTCTCTCGGCAGAACAGAAATTTTAATGTAACAAGGACAAGCAAATTGTGCCAGCCATTTCAGACAAACATCGGCTACAGAGGACCTGGAAATGTTCCGTTTTCCCTTTGTTCATTCCACCTGTCAATCTGATTACAGATACGTTAATAAAAGTAGATCGTTAGGTAGGAACAACAACACATGAAATGTAAGATAAAGCGATTTAAACTTCAAGTAAAGTGTACGTTATAAATCAATTGAAAAAATTTGCACCACGATATCAAAATTTATCTGCATTTTATCTGACGACAGGATATAGTGAAAATAATCAGCCAGCCTCCATTTGAAAACATGAGATACTATAAATCTTCCACATGGTGAAGCCATAAAACTCTCACTTTTCGGCCAATTATTCAACAAATTAATCAATCAACTTGTACATTACTGATCTCGCTGAACTAGTTTAAAAATTGTAAGTTCAAAGAATCATTCAGAAACAGCTTCATATTTTAAAAAAAAAAAATGCCAGTAATTTCAAGAAAATGAAATAATATGTTACATATAGTTTGGCCAGGTGATTGAACCTTAATTTAGTAAACAACAAAAACTTTAATTTCAAAGGATGTACCATATGCACATAGTTGAGTTGCACAAATTGAAGGCCTAGAGGCACGATGACAGAATAAAAGAAGTGGGAAAAGCTCAGCTAACAGAAAGTCAGAAAGTAATTATGCCAATGAGAATCCCAAGTATTATGCACCCATGCATGTCTAGGCACCTTCCCCATGCAGCCTAATTAACTTCATGACTACAGTTGTTATTTTTGTCATTTTCAACAATTTTCTGATTTAACATATAGTCAGCAATGATGTGAATTACAGAATGAACAAAACCATAAATTTCTCAATGGTAAAAAAGCCAGTGTTGTAGAATACAAGATATCGTTTTATAACAGTAACACAAAGTAAATATGCAATCAACTTTGACCCAAAAAAAATGCATGTCAACAGATCTAAATGAATAAACAGATACCCACACTGCCAATTGGCAGAAAGCCAGATAGTAATATAGTATAATAGACACTGAATATACATACCCATTCACCAGGGCAGAGAGAACGATAATACTTTGCAAACTTCTCGCATTCTGGTGCACCCTCCCGTTTTGCAGCTATGCAGCTACACAAGAATCAAAAGTTCAACATGACAGAAATATTGTATTTCTTCGTATTATGTCAGCAACAAGAATGATAGAATGAAAAGGAAAAAAGAAACTATGGCTCACCGGTGATATTCAACATATCGGGTAAAGCAATGCCTTGTTTGATTTGTAGTTGGAAAACGGAAATCAGCTGGAGCAGTCTCAAGCTGGATGGTAAAACAAAAATTAACATACAAGAAGGAATAAGCATACTCATTCTGAATTAAGTAACTGGTTTGGAGGTGTAGTTATATTTGAATAAGTAAAACAAGGAGTGGGGCAGGAAGAGGAACCTTAATTTCTGGAGTCTCTTCCGCTGCTTCTTGATCACCAGAGTTTTCTTCTCCAGTGTTTCCATTACTATGCTCTGTAGTTACATCATTGCTCTCTTCAGAAGCAGCAGAATTGGGCTCAGCACTTTCTTCTGCCACTGGGGCAACTTCACTACTTTCTTTAGCAGGTGCAGTGGATGTTTTCACAGTTTTCTCAGCAACAAATTCCTCAGAAGAAGCCTCCTTAGGATTTTCAACTTCTTTAACTTCCACAGGTTTACTGCCTACATCTTTTTTCTCCTCTTTATCGTTCACAGAGTATTGCTGAAAGTCAAAGCAACAGAAAAACATCTCAGGTAATATGCTGAGCTGAGAACACAAATGTCACACCTTAACTGAAAGGTAAAAACTACCAACACAGTAAACCCATCAAACAAAACATGTTTATGTACTCATTGATACTTCTGGACCAATTTTAGGGTTGCAATCTATAACACGTAATTCCATTGTTGAACGTGATCTCTTAATTAATAATATTTCTAAAAGCTTAATAAATGATAGAGCACAATGGCGTCTTGCAATCCATGTAGCCGACCCCACCTAGTGGGATAAAGGCTTGTTGTTGTTGTTGTTGTTATCAATGTGATCAGCGAATATGACACTACTACAAAAAGCAAATGAATGACGTATTTTTGGTCCGCAACAATGACAAAGTTAGCTAAAAAACTCTTCAACTAAAGCATGAAGAGTAATCCCAAACCTCAAAATCCGTGGTACGGTACTGTCTATCAAGTATCCAACTTGTTCTCATTACTGAATGAACAGGGAGGCAGAAGACAGATTGGAGTACCGTATAGGATGAGAAACAATAAGATCAGACCCAGCATTAATTTCTAGCATAACCTTATTGTGGCCGATATGGGTTTAGCATAGAATTCCTGGTAGGCAACCTCAGATGTTATGACTATTGGTTAGTTAGAGAATGTTTCAGAGATTAGTGCTGAAGGGGATTCTAAAATATCACCCCGGGGGGGGGGGGCGGTCTTTCGAAGGTTTGAGCAATTAATTAACGAAAATTTTCATGACATATATTAGCAAGCATTTCGCTCCATAATAATAAGCTCGAGCACTGATTAATCAATTCCCATGTCAAGGACTCCAAATTGTTAATCAAATCAAGGCTCCATTTTCCTCTCCTCACACAAGAGAGGATATTTTGTAGTAGATCGATGAACTAGCAGGCATCAAAATCGATTCAGCAGGCGATTCTTTATCTAAGATCTAGCTGGTACGTCAAAATCGAGCTTCGTGAATGGAAAACAATGATCCAGCGCCGTTTTTGAAAAACGAATACTACATTGCATACAGTTAAGAAGACAAAAACAGGAGCTATACCTCAGCAAGGGTTGGAGAATTGTCGGTTGAAGCTTCGGCCATCGATGTAGTGAGCCCAGGGATAATTGGAGCAATGGGCTGGTGGATGTGGATGAGGTATCGGTTGAGAGTCTAGAACAGTGGCTGCAAAGGCAGAGGGTGGGAATGGCACTAGAATGTGTGCGAGACACGTGCCTGATCGGAATCGGAGGCGTTGGACAATTCTTGGGGGAAAAAAAAAAGACCGACATCATTAGGGAGTCAACCAGGACAAGCGGCTATTCGGGTCACCCCTTCTTGGGCCTGTTCTGTTCCAAACACATGGGCCTCAACTTATTAATCTTGTAGTTTTTTCGGCCTTTTTCATTTTTTGATAAAGGGCCATGTTATTCAACTCCCACTTTTTGCTCACACTCTTACAATCCCGGGACAAAATGGAGGAAAGCCACTTGCAGCACAAAGCAAATTGTTCACTGCCCTGTGAAAAGTATAAACGTTTTATTCAATGTTACTTGAATGAATATAATTTAAATGCATAGACTGTATCTAAATCACGGTGCAAGTATTGCTACTTTTTCAGTTGGAAAAATCACTATTAAGTTTTATAGAAGGATTCTAATTACTCAAAGGTCCCACGAAAGGGAAAAATACCTAAGGAACTTTAACGTAAATAATTTTTATTGTGCAATATATGTATTGCCCATTTTTTCCTTTTCTACCTCTACTTCCCATAGTTTGAAACTCTCTCTCCCACTACCGACGAACCATAAAAGGTAAAAGCGAATAGAGTTGCTCCTTCATCTTTGTCCAAACACTCCTTAAAATTATATTTTAGAACCAACATCTCTCTCTCTAAACACCATGGCATTTTATTCCATGAAGAGAAAGGAGCAACGTGTTGACAAACTAACCACCATTGACCTCCTTGTAGCCAATCTCTTGCGTCATTGCCACCTCCATCGCCTTCTCATTTATGCCATCTCTGCTTGCTTCTCGGTGCTCTTTGTCATCTTCTCCCTACTCACTCTCTCTCCTGTGCACCACCTTTCTCCAGTAACTCCTTTTCCTTTCTCATGTAGAAAGCTTGTTCCAGTTTCAATGATAAGGTAATCCTCCATAGTTGGTCACCCTCCCGAGCAAAGTTGTGAGTAGAGAAGATGATACATGCAATGAGGATGGGTAAGGAGCTTGATTGAGCTTTATAACGTCCCAAAAATTCTAACTAGGGATTAATTAAGGTCAGCGGGGAAGGAGCTGGCAAATTGTGTTTAACCTAGGGGATTCAAGGTTAGCCTACAAGGTTGAAGCCCATTAAACCCTAATGGAAACTTCACATCTAAGAATATAGGATCTTTTCAGCCAAGTTAAGCCTAGTTTGGATAATTGAGTATGGGCTTCACCCATTGTACCATCTGTCGTAATGGAGGATGCGTGCTATAACGAATAATCATGAATTATATTTTAAAATTACCCTATATAATAGTAACTGAGGGAGGTGAGAATGAGAGAGCTCATAGGTAAAAGCCTTTCCTCTACTAGGGTTTATGAGTTTCAGCCTTTTCAATGCCTTTAGGAGGTATACAACTCTTGGATAAGCTCCCACACCTTTTTTGCTACTCTCCTCCTATTCTTCTTCTTTTTCTTTGGGTGTTAGTGCCAATATCCAAAAACGATAAGGGAAGCATGCTAAGTTTTTTTTATGTTTATGATTAATGGGAGCTTAGTTGAGTACCCTAAGCTCAGGTTAAGTCACTAACAAAGGTCAAGAATGAATGGTTGAGGGTTAAGTGAAGCCCTAATATGGATTAGCTAATAAATGGTGTTTTGCATGTATTTAGGCTCATTGTTGGCTATTAGAGTCTAACTAAATTGCTAGAGCTTTAATAATGGGATAAACAAGGGATATGAGTTTAATAGAGGTTTTAAAAATTTTAGACTATGGTTAAGGAAATTAACTTGATTAGTCATATTTAGTCCCTTATGGTAATTAATACACTTGAATGTTGATTTTGGCTACCTTTTGATGCTTTGGCTTGTTGAAGGCACCTTGGGTCATCAAAGTACACTCCTGGTTTGGTAATTTCCTATATATGTATTTTTTATTTGTAAGTAAAATTTTATTATGGGATTAAATCTGGTATAATAATGCATGAAATTAATGAAGAATTATGCAAGAAGTATAAGAATTGAGTACGATGCTTGATTATAAGACTAAGTTTTATATAGGCTACTGGCTAATATTATGGCACGAGTATTTAAAGAGATATGTTATTGGTGTATTCACAAGGTGGCTCCTCCGTTGTGTTTAAACGTAGTGGTTGGTGTATCTATTAAATATATATACTTTGTATTATCATTAACCTATAAATATGGCATGGGTTGGGCACGATGCTCAGCATCACCAGTTTCTATGAGAAACAGTATGGGTCAAGAAATTATGACACCCTATAATTCAAGAAGGGGGAATCGATAATCCAAGAGTAAATGTGAGTACCTTGGTTAGGTAACCTCTCATAGTTGGAAAATGGGGCTAACTCAATTGCATGGGTTGGCTCTATAATTCAATAGCTTTGGTCAAAAGATATGAGAAGGGTAATAAGGTAGAATACACTATCATGCTTGTTGTATAGAGTTCAAACACCTGCCTTAGAAATATATGATTTGAAGGTTGAAAGTATATGATATTATCTCATATACGTGCCTTAATATTTATACACTAGTCATTATAATGTCATGTCTCGTCTCCTTTTTACATATTGAATTTTTAGGGGATGGCTGCAAGAAGGGCTTGGGAGGAAAGGGAACCATGCTAAAGACATCCTGTAACATCTTACATAATTGCTAATTAGAGGTACCATTGCACATTAAGTCATTAGTGCATATGAGATGTAATGAAGTTGTGCATGTTTATGCTTGTGGTTGATATTTATGTGTTGGTTTGGTCTTGCTAGTAGATTAATATCTGGAAGGGAGACACTTTGTGTTTGTGATGAAAGTATCAAATACATGTTTTGAGACCAAGTGTTTCAAGATCCTTGTTTACTACCAGATTAAGTTAAAACTAAGGTCATTAGATAGATTATTTAATTATCTATGTCTAGGTACTTGGATCACTTTAATTGGAGGTTTGAACTAAAAATTAAATACTCCAAAAGATTGAATTTAATTGCACTTTGACAAATTAAGTAGTTGGTCATCATGAATTTTTCCTTAGGTTGGCCATAGTTGATTATGCCATTAGTTGTGACTAGTGGCCTTTGTGCTATAAGTTATGGCAAACATGCGTTTGGCTGCAGCAGATTTGCCTAAAATGCTATAATGTCAGTCTTGTTCCTTTTTAACCTATTTTAATGCTCAACTCTTTTTCCATATTTTTACAATCTTTTATACTCTGATTTTAATTGTTTTACAAAGGCCTTAACTTGTAATCTCCACCTTTAATTATTTTAGGATTTCATTTACTTAAAGGTATTTTACAAGAATATTTTAGCCAAGGTTGATTATTCAACCTTTGTTTAGTCTCTTAATTATTGATTTGGCTATTTGATTGGGTGAGAGTATGGATAATGTCAGAGGTTATTACAAGCTTTATTGAAGCGATATGGAATAAGCGATGATGCCAGCAATGAAAGTAAATCCGAGGGATCCAATTCACTGTTCAAACTTAAGATCGCCTTCTCTCTTCTTCCTCAGTTGACCTCTCCCCAACCTTGCAAAACTTGAGCAATCTGATTCACATCACATTTTGTCGTTTCACTTCTTTGCTAGATTGTTCCCTTCTCGCCTCCAAGTCTCGTCGTTTCTCAATGGATCTCCTCACCTCTCTCACTAAAGAGTCTTTGTTCATTAAAGCACAAAAGAATATTATTCTTAACATGGACCCACCAAAAAATCCTCCTATGTTTATGGCTCGTCCTAAGTGTTAGATTTATTATATTCTACCAAAATAACTTAAGGATAGTATGCTCTACCAAAATAGTTTAAGTCATTTGATTAAATACTTCTTAAACTTTATATATCATAATTCATTTTCTAATCTTTTAGATGTGAGACTTCTTTGTACACTCTAATATTCTCTCTACTACTTTTTTTGTCTCTCGGTTTTTTTTTTTCATTTTTTTCTTCTTGCTTGGGCTTGTACTTTTTTAATCTCAGAGGCCTTAGGTCTATTCAATTTCTTCTCCTTTTTTCTCCTTCTTCTCTCTTTTCTTTTCTTTTTTTTTTTAACTTTTTGTTGTATTTTTTTCATCTTTCATTTTTTTCTTTTTTTTTTCTAATCAAATGGCTCATAATACCATATTAAATTTATTATATTAAGTATATTTAAAAATAGTATACTCTACCAAAATAACTTAAGCTATTTGAATAGATACTTCCTAAGCTTTATATATCATGATTCATTTTCTAATATTTTAAATACAGGACTTTTTTTTACACTCTAATACTAAGTTAGTTGAAGCCGTCATACACGAGAAGAAAACAATGGGGAGGATGGGGTTTTTTTTTTTAAGTTTGTGCAGATTAGAGGTGATTTTTTTTTCTTTTTTAATAAGAGTACTTTGGTCAAATCACCAAAAACTTATTTACAACTAAATCTCTTAAGACTTTAGATTTATTCATTTAGTGGGACCTTTAGATATTTAGAATTATTAGGAGTTACTCTATAGTGATTTTCCCTTCTTAATATTCCCTTTAATAAAAAATATAAGTCATTTTTTCAATTAGTTTTGATGTTAAATACAAGCAACCTAGTATTTTTTCATTTTACTTATTATATTCATTAACCTAAATTTCTGTATTTATTATCAATTTACAATCTTCTTCTCAATCATTTTAAATCAAAACCAAGGATAAAAAATATGTTTTTTATAAAAATAAAATTTTATCAATATACAAATTAGTATTAAAATTTGATTACTCCATCTATTTAAAATATAAAATATTTTTTAAGAACTTAAATGTTCAAAAAATACAAGACATTTTGTAATTATTATTTTTTTTTATAAAAGTGTCTCTATTGATGAATGATTTTATATTTCTTGTAAAATATTTAATAAAATAAATATAAAAATATATATTAATTTAAAAATAAGTAATTATTTTATTAAAGATAAAATTTAATTAAAAATATTTTTATATTTTAAATAAGAAGTATATTTTAGAGTGAAAGGAACACGTGAGGACGGTTGGTGTAATCTCCACG